GGACCGCGAATTGATCGAAGTTAGACATTAACACCGTTAGATACCGGCTCAGTGGTCCAGAAGTTAGGTGTGGTGGGTTAGAATCCTGCAGGGTGCAGGAGTCGTGGATGCGCACCGCTTGCTGATGAGTAGTTCCATACCAGGACGAAACAACCGTCTTTCAGTGCTTCTTCCAGGTTTATGATGGTGATCTAACATTGGTCGATTCATGATTTCAAATGTGTAATTTAACAATCTTCACAAACCCCGTAACACATATATACATTGGGATCAACAATAAATCTGTTTAATTTACTATTTAACCTTTCATAGGTGATTCAGTCATATATGTTTCATCATTTCATGTGATGATATTGGTTTATATTTCACATTTATCTAGGCGTAGTTGTATCATTGATGTTGTCGTGTTTTTTGTTGCAATTGGTCAATCTCTGGACGGTAATCAGTATCATGTGTATCAGGTCACGCTTAGTGCTAATTGAATCCTACCAGTCAAGTTGCAATATGGCTACAAATCTAGGTGACTCGATATCGTTTGCACTATGTTGAGATAGATGTAAGATGGTGGTTGGTACGGTAGTCATTTGAAAACCCTACTTGATCTGACTTTCATGTTGTTTGACATTGTTAACCACGGTGTACATGTAATCCTTGAGCAGCAGCTGATACTTCGTGACAGATTCAGTCATGCGTCACCTAGCTTCACAGTCAGAGTTATTACCACTGAGCTTTCTTAACTGCGATTGTTTTTTTCTGAGATTTACCTATCATCGAAATTTGAATTTATGTGGTTCCATGTCATGAAGATCTTGCTGCCATTAGTAGAAGTCAGTCAGCTACAACGTAGAACTTAGTACGTCTACGTACATCAGTGCAAGTTGCCATAGTGGTAGACGTAGTAAGAGTATTGTCAGTAATCGAAAAGATCAGAGATCGAAGATATCATTCGAGAAGTATAATCCAGTGAAATGGATTTCAAAATAGAAATAAAAATGATCATGAGGAATTCAGAAGATTAGAATTTGTGAGCGGACAAACATTGGGTGTACCTGTGCCATCGGGAACGATTTTGAGCCATCCCATTCAAGGTCTCTAACCATCGATTATTATCATCTTATGAACCCAAACCACGTAGTAGTCTACTTGTCAGTGACTTCATGAACTGGTGACATGATTTTGTTTGACCGTCCTTAGCTTTCTTCCAACCTACTCCTACACCACAAAACCTCTGGTCGAAGCAGTCGGTGGTTAGACATACACAGCACACATCTCAACCACTTAAACTGATGAATTTTCATTGCTTCGTCAATTGATTTGTCATCTTTAACTAGTACTCATTTCCCAACAACAACATTGCTTACTCAGTGGTGGTCCCACGATGTACGAGCAATGTTTAGGAGATACGTATGGCTGTGAAACATGGCCAGTGAGAGTAGAAGATATTCGTAGGTTACTGGTTTTCGATCATAGGTGTCTTCGAAGCATTGCTCGTATATCGTGGGACACCCGAGTGAGCAACGCTGTTATTAGGAATCGGGTACTAGGTAAGAATGGAAGATCAATAGACACAGTAGTGACACTTCATCAGTTGAGGTGGTTGGGACATGTGCTGCGTATGCCTACCCCACCGACTGCCTCGTCGAGCTTTGTTTTGTAGTGTAGGAATAGGTTGGAAGATAGTTAGGGGCGGCCAGACCAAAACATGACAGAATTTCCATGAAGTCATTGACGAGTGAACTGAGTCATGTTGGTAGATCTCGACTACATTGTTGGGGTCCGCGAGACGAAAGACACCGATGGTTAGAGACCTTGAATGACATGGCTGAAAATCGTTTGCGATGGCGCCGGTGCATTTATTCTTTGTGTTCTCTCAAATCCTAATCTTCTGGGTTCTTCAACAACACTAGTTTTGACTTTCGAAACTTTTCTCACTGAATCATACTTCTTGTATCATATCCTCTAATCCTAACCTCTCCGATTACTTCTAATACCTTCACTACCTCTTCTACTATTGGATTTGAATTGACAATTGCATCTCTGTGTGCTGATGTGGTATGGCGACATGAACTGATGTACTTACGTACGAAGTTCTACGTTGCATCTGACTGACTGACTGACAGTGGTCTCAGGATTTACGAGCAATATTTAGAATACACATACGGTAGAATACTAGTAACCTACAAATATCCTCTACTGTTTGTGGTCGTGTTTCACACCCATGTAGTAGGAGAGAGCAAACTGTTGCACAGTAAACTTGTCCTCTAATTAGCAGTTGAACATTTAAACCCATATATATATATATATATTATATCTATTGTTTTTTTACACGATATTATTTTTCGAATTTATCAAAACCATGAAACAACATCATGACATTTATTCTTGTTTTATTTCAATCATGACAAAATTAGTTGATCACATTTTTCTGTTGTAAACTATTTATGTATGTATTGCATTGATGCTTCGGATCAGTTCATGTGTTGTGACCTTTTGATCTGTTTGTCTTTCATCAGTAAATGATACTAGTTTCTTGACTGCATTACGTCAGACAGTCATTCAGTTAATCAGTATTGAATGACATCTTCACATTCTTTCAAATAATTCAATGTTATCATGCGATATGTAGAGAGGCACGCCCCGAGCTGATGAGGTCCTTACTTAACCTAGGACGAAACATGCAGCCTAGATTCTATGGCTAACCACACTATCTATTCTCATGTGATTTGTGTTTTTTGTTGTTAACAATAATTTCTTGATGATCAGTGTAGTTTATTCAAGTACCTCTAATTCATTGCTTAAAATATGATTCTGTTGAAATATGTCTAAGTTTACGAATTGTTTAAAGAACTCATGGCTAAATTATATTGAAGAAGTAGGTCTTTCAAAATTGTGTGTGTATGTGTATTGGAACACTGACATCAAATTTGTTGTTTTCAATCTGTTAAAGGTAGGGTACATTTGTGAAAAAAAGAGAGGTCATATATCTCTAAGGTCAAATAATTATCTGATCACTTAACGAGAATGTAAGTCGATTTTGTCACAATAGGAAAACCTAGTGTGGTACACATATAAACTGTTGCTATTACAAATAAATAAATGGTTTGGATAAAATAAGTTTTAATCGAAACGCTTAATCAAATTAAACATGAGCGAACTCAAATGTATGTGAGGGCACCACAAGTTGAGGTGGTTGGTACTTACGTCACGTACGCCTGCCTAACCACCGACTGCCTTGACGAGCTATTATTTGTGATGTAGGGAGTAGGTTGGAAGAAAACTAGCGGCGACCACACTAAAACATGGCAGACAAGTGGACTGAGTCATGTCAGTCAGTCAGTCAGTTGCAACGTAGAACTTCGTACGTATGTACATAAGTTCATGTTGCCATACCACATTAGCACAGAGACGCAAATGTCAAATCAAATCCCATAGTGATAGAGATAGTAGAGGTATTAATAGTAATGAAGAAGACTAGGGTTTGAAGATATTATTTAAGAAGTATAATTCAATGAGATAAGGTTAGAAAGACAAAGGTAGAGGTGCTGACGAATCCAGATGATTAGGATTAGAGAGAGCTCAAAGAATGTATGCACTTGCACCATTGCAAACGATTCTGATCAATGTCTTTCAAGGTCTCTAACCATTGGTGACTTTCGTTTCGCGGACCCCAACCAGGTAGTTTACATCTGCCAACATGACTCAGTCCACTTGTCAGTGACTTCATGGATTTCTGCCATGTTTTGGTTTGGCCGCCCCTAGCTTTATTTCAACCTACTACTACACCACAAAACATAGCTCGTCGAAGCAGTCGGTGGTTAGGCATATGTAACGCATGTCCCAACCACTTCAACTGAAGTTTCACCACTTGATGTATTGATCTGCCATCCTTACCTAGTACTCGTTTCCTAACGACAGCATTGCTTCTTAAACATCTATGATCGAATACTAGTAACCTGCGAACATCTTCTACTCTTAACGGTCATGTTTCACAGCCATATAGTAGACCTGAGCAAACTGCTGCACAGTACACCCGTCCTTTGGTTAGCGAACGGATATCACGACTGAGTCATTTCGGTAGATGTAAACTACTTGGTTAGAGACCTTGGATGACATGGCTCAGAATCGTTTGCAATGACGCAGGTGCATTCATTCGTTGTGTTGTCTCAAGTCCTAACCTTCTGAATTCCTCATCACCTTTATTTTCTATTTCTAAATTTATGTCACTGAATTATACTTTTTGAATGATATCTTCGAACCCTAATCTTCTCCATTACCAGTAATACTTCTATCACCAGCTCTACTACTATGAGATTTGAACTGACAGTTGCAGTCAGTCAATCAGTCAGATGCAACGTAGAACTTCGTACGTAAGTACATCAGTGATCAAGTTGCCTTACCACATCAGCACATGCAGATGGAATTGTCAATTCAAATCCAATAGTAGAAAAGGTAGTAAAGGTATTAGAAGTAATCGAAGAGGTTAGAATTAGAAGATATTAATTCAAGAAGTATGATTCAGTGAGAAAAGTTTAGAAAGTCAAAACTAGAGGAGTTGAAGTTTTGACTTTCTAAACTGACAATTGCGTCTCTGTGTTGATGAGTTATGGCAACCTGAACTGCTATACGCACGTATGAAGTTCTGTATTGTATCTGTCTATCTATTTATCTACTACAGATGTACGTACGTACGAAATTCCTACCTTGTAACTGACTAACTTACTGACTGACTGCTTGCTTACTTCACATTTGATATGTTGTACATTTTTTTTTACTTTGTAGGATGCTAAAATTCATGTGGAATTATGTACAGATAAATTAAAAGCATGTAAAATTATTTATGCGAATGCCATGTCCACATTAGAATCTTTATCAAATTCTATACATTCAATGCGATTCAATCAACAACAACAACAGCAATCTATGATGTACATGACAACAAATCATTGTGATGCTATAAATTCTAGTGATCATTGTTCAATTGTCAATGATTGTCATCATCATCATCATCAGCATCCTCTTGATGAACATGGTGATGACGATGATGGTGTTGAGGTTGAGGATGTCAATAATTGCACAACAACACAATTCACGCCATCATTATCTTCTGTTCAATGTACAAATGAATTAACAAATAATGAGAATTCACTATTGAACAAATCAATGCGCGATTGTTTAAATCATCATCATCACCAGAATAATAATAATAATCACAATTCAAATGTCAATTGTTTTCCAATGATGAATGGTTTATTAGAGGTAAGTTTATTTGTAGTGAATGATAAAATTGATTTCAGCCAGTCAGTCAGATGCAACGTAGAACTTCGTACGTAAGTACATCAGTTCATATTGCCATACCACCAAATTAGCACAGAGATGTAATTGTCAATTCAAACCCAATAGTAGAAGAGGTAGTAAAAGTATTAGAAGTAATCGAAGAGGTTAGAATTAGAAGATATTATTCAAGAAGTATGATTCAATGAGAAAAGTTTAGAAAGTCAAAAGTAGAGCGGTTGGATAATCCAGAAGATTAGGATTTGAGAGAACACAAAGAATAAATGCACCTGCGCCATTGCAAACGATTCTGAGTCATGTCATTCAAGGTCTCTAACCATCGATTATTATCATCTCGCGGACCCCAACCAGGTAGTCGACAATTACCGACATGGCTCAGTCCTCTAGTCAATGACTTCATGGATTTCTGCCATGTTTTGGTCTGGCCGCCCCTAACTTACTTCCAACCTATTTCCACACTACAAAACAAAGCTCGTCGAGGCAGTCGGTGGTTAGGCATACGCAGCACATGTCCTAACCACCTCAACTGATGAAGTTTCATTACTTCGTCTATTGATCTGCCATTCTGACCTAGTACTCGTTTCCTAATAACAGCGTTGCTCACTTGGGTGTCCCATGATATACAAGCAATGCTTTGAAGACACCTATGTTCGAAAACCAATAACCTACGAATATCTTCTACTCTCACTGGCCATGTTTCGCATCCATACAGTAGGACAGAGTGAACTACTGCGCAGTACACTCGTCCTTTAGTCAGCAAACGGATATCTCGCCTACGCCATAAGTGACGCAGGTTGGCGAAAGCCAATCGAGCCTTCTGTATCCGAGCTGAGATTTCGTCAGTTAAAATTGATTTGAATGGGTTTTTATTAAAATTTGACATTGTTTTACTGACTGTACTTAATGAATTTTTGGATATTGAATGGACCAATCAGAATGAAGATAACACTTCATGTGTTTGGCGCGAAATTTTAATGGTTAGCGGTAAATAACTTGTTTGTATTACGTGGTTGTGAAGATTGTTAAGTTACACACATTTTTGAAACCATGAATCGATCAATGTTTAGACTACAACCATTAGAAACCTGGAAGCACTGGACGGCCGTTTCGTCCTGGTATGAGACTACTCCTCAGCAGTGCGCATCCACGACTCCTGCATCCCGCAGGATTGGAACCCAGGACCTTTGGTATTGTGCGCGAACACCGTAACAGTTAGACCACTGAGCCGGTATCTAACGGTGTCAATGTCTAACTTGATCAAATTCACGGAGTTGCGCAACCTCATACACAGTTTTCGGTAGACACTACCTACACCCGAACAGGTTGAACTTCACTGGTCATGTCTTCCCACTAGAACTTGGAGAAGATTCCTCACCAAGCTAGTCGTCACTAGTGAGCACAGGTAATTTACATTACGGATTTGTGAGGAGTCCCACACTAGGACGAAACGGCCGTCCAGTGCTTCCAGGTTTCTAATCGTGGTCTAACATTGATCGATTCAATGTTTTACTGTACTTAATGAATTTTTGGATATTGAGTGAACCAATCAGAATGAAGATAAAACTTCATGTGTTTGGCGCGAAATTTCAATAAAGGTCAGCGGTAAACAACTTGTTTGTTATAATTAACGAAGTAAAAAAGCTGCATGCTGAATTGATCCGCAATATCTTGCATAGATTTTCTAATTTTCGGCTTCATACAATAGAATGGTTATGACGTCCGTATTGACATTCTTGTTCAATTTTATCATAGACATGCTCTTAGAAATAACCTTATCCTCGTCTGAATTTTCAGGAGTAGACCTTCTACCAAGTGGCTCGCTTATTGACTTAGAATATGCCGATGACATTGTCCTACTTGGTGAAGAGGCTGACAACATGCAGAGTATTCTGACTACCATAAGCAACAATGCAAACATGTTCGGGATGCGGTTCTCACCACTGAAATGCAAAATGTTGCTTCAAGATTGGGTTGCATCGGCACCTGAACTAGTGATAGGGAGTGAAGTAGACCGCTTCACTTATCTTGGGAGTCTCATCAGTGCTGATGACCTGGTTTGTGACGAAATCTCAGCATTGATACAGAAGGCTCGATTGGCTTTTGCCAACCTGCTTCACTTATGGCGTAGGCGAGATATCCGTTTGCTGACTAAAGGACGAGTGTACTGTGCATTAGTTCGCTCCGTCCTACTGTACGGATGCGAAACATGGCCAGTGAGAGTAGAAGATATTCGTCGGTTATTGGTTTTCGATCATAGGTGTCTTCGAAGCATTTCTCGTATATCGTGGGACACCCGAGTGAGCAACGCTGTTATTAGGACACGGGTGCTAGGTAAGAATGGCAGATCAATAGACGCAGTAGTGACACTTCATCAGGTGATGTGGTTGGGATATGTGTTGCGTATGCCAAACCACCGACCGACCCGTCGAGGAATAGGTTGGAAGAAAGTTAGGGGGGGCAAAACCAAAACATGGTAGAAATCCATGAAGTCACCGACAGGTGGACTAGTTGGGGTACGCGAGATGATAATAATCTATGGTTAGAGACTCTGAATGACATGGCTCAAAATCGTTTGCAATGGCGCAGGTGCATTTATTCTTTGCGTTCTCTCAAATCCTAATCTTCTCGATTCGTCAACACCTCTAGTTTTGACTTTCTAAACTTTTCTCACTGAATCATACTTCTTGAACAATATCTTCTAATCCTAACCTCTCCGATTACTCCTAATACCTTTACTACCTCTTCTACTATCGGATTTGAATTGACAATTATATCTGTGTGCTGATGTGGTATGGCGACATGAACTGGTGTACTTACGTACGAAGTTCTACGTTACATCTGACTGACTGACATTCGTATTGAAAATTGTGTCTTTGGTGTAGATTGATAGTTGTTTTTGCTGCCAGACAGTCACTGGTTGTGGAAATGTTGCGCTTGCCTTGCCAATGCACGCATACACATCGGCTTCAGATCCAACTTGCTCATCAGTGATCCTGCCCAGATATGTAAAGGCTTTTAAATCCTCCAAAGGTTCTTTGTCAAGTGTGATTTGATTGGTCCATGTTGTGGTGTATCGAGGGATCTTGCTTTTTCCCTGTGTGTATTTAGGTTTTCTGATGCAGAGGCTGCTGCTACATTGACACCGTCTTCATCTAAGCTTGTTGTTGTGTGTAAGACAGAAGGGCTAGATCGTCTGAGAAGTTCAAGTCGTTCAACTGCATCCGAGCTGTCCACTGTATTCCATGCTTCCTCTAAAATTTTGACGTCTTCATAATCCAGAAAAAGGGTGACAGTAAACAACCTTGCCTGACATCGGTCTTCACTTGAAACCAGTATATGGACCGTCCTCCATGCACAATTTGACAGTCTTGTCCATTAAAAGAATTCCTCATTACGTTGACTATATTCTCAGGCACACGATATTGTCGCAGAAGCCTCTATAGTGTCATCCTGTTCACGCTGTCGAATGCTGAATTTGATGTAGAGTGGTGAATTGCATTCAGTCGATTGTACCACAATAATCCGTAGTGTCACGATTCGGTCGGTACATGATTGATTGATCATTACGGCGGATTCCAGCTTGTTGATCTCGAAGTTTTCGGCGTTTAAATTAACAAGACACTTGATGTAGTTTGCGTGGAATTTAATATGTGGCAGCAAATAACTCGCATGTTATAATTCAAAATCCGCAGTACACGATCTTTAAAATGCTTGAAATTTTTATTATGAAGATGAGAAATAAATTTAAGACGAATACTTACTTACTTACTTACTTACTTACGCCTGTTACCCCCAATGGAGCATAGGCCGCCGACCAGTTCCCTCCAACCAACTCTGTCCTGGGCTTCCCTTTCCAGTTCTGTCCAATGTTTGTTCATTCCTCTCATATCTTTCTCTATTTCTCGGCGTAGTGTGTTCTTTGGCCTTCCTCTTTTCCTTTTGCCTTGAGGGTTTCATGTGAGGGCTTGTCTCGTTACGCGGTCAGGTGCTTTTCGTAGTGTGTGTCCTATCCACTTCCACCGCTTCTTCCTGATTTCCTCCTCCACTGGAATTTGGTTTGTTCTCTCCCACAGTACGTTGTTGCTGATCGTGTCTGGTCAACGAATCCGAATTATTTTGCGTAAACAACTGTTCATAAACACTTGTATCTTCTGAATGATGCTTTTCGTAGTTCTCCAAGTTTCCGCTCCATACAGTAGAACTGTCTTGACATTTGTATTGAAAATCTTGATTTTGGTTTTGGTTGACAGGTGTTTGGAGTTCCAGATATTTTTCAACTGTAGAAATGCAGTCCTTCAAAATTTAAGACGATGTTTAAGTTAAATTACTAACTAAATTACCCCTTAGATTAAGTACTTGTCGCGATTCAATGCATTGTCATGAGAGTTTAGTGCAGACATATAGTATCCCCGCTTTCTGACGCTTACTCTAAATCTGATCTAGAATTTTCTTAAGTTTGGAAACAGTAGAATGACAAAGTACTGCATCATATCTGATGTTAGTTCTTGATAAAAATAAAACCCAACCTTAATTTTAAATAAACCAAGCTTAGTAATCTAGTTTAACTTTTAATACCTACTAACCTTAACGTCATTGGTGACAAAAACCTTAATTCTTATCAGTAGTTCAACTTTGATTTGAGTAAACAAACACATGACCTTTTCCTACCGCTAAAGGGAATAATTTGACATGTGAAGGTTGATCATTCAAGATCAAAGCTGTCATTCTATTGATATTTCATGGATTTTATCTGTTGATTGTTGTATAACTACTGTAGTGAAAGAGAACACAGGTGAGGGCAACCGAATTGTATTTAACGAAAATTACAGAGTTACTCAGTAAAATAGGGAAAACCATATCGTAAACCTTAGTTAATTTGCAAATCTTCAATCCATCCATCATCAATCCATTGTCTGACATTTCACTCACTGTTCATGCGTTTCATACGCGAATTCCATTGTGTTCCCCCCACTCTTCCTTTCTTGATCTTCCCCCATCCTCTTCTGCTGCCAGACATTACGTTTTTTTACTCGCGTCATATACTACTTATAAGTAGCGCGCACCACACTACTAATAGATATTTGTAGGTGACTGGTTTTCGATCATCGATCTATTCGATGCATTGCTTGTATATCCTGAGACAACCGAGTAAACAATGTAGTTGTTAGGAAGCGAGTACTAGGTAAATATAGCAGATCAATAGATGAAGTAATGAAACTTCATCAGTTGAAGTGATTGGAACATGTGTTACGAAGGCCCAACCACCGACTGTCTCTACGAACTATGTTTTGTGGTGTAGAAATAGGTTCAACGAAAGCTAGGGGCGGCCACACTAAAACATGGCAGAAAGCCATGAAGTCACTGACAAGTGAACTGAGTCATGTTGCTAGATGTAGGCTATCTGCGTGAGGTCTGCGAGGTTATAGTAGCCGTTGGTCAGAAACCTTGAATGACACAGTTCAAGATCGTTTGCAATGCCACAGGTGCATCCATTCTTCGTCTTCTCTGAAATCCTAATCTTATGGATTCTTCATCACCTTAATCTGTCTCTTTTTAAAGTTATTTCACTAGATTATACTTGTTGAGTAATATCTTCAAACCCCTAATCTTCTCCATTACAAGTAATACTTCTATCATCAGCTCTACTACTATGCGATTTGAATTGACAAATGCGTCTATGTGTTAATCTTGTGGTATGGCAACTTGAACTTACATACTTGCGTACGAAGTTCTACGTTGTAACTGTCTGATTGATCACTAACTAACTAGTCAATGTTTCCTGATTCCCGGAATATGCCGCTCAACGTCATCAATGTTGGCACTATTCCTTAATCGAATATATGAACAAGTTGTTGTTTAGTCAAATTTATATTAACCTGAATCAATTTTTAAAGTAATCTAGAATTCGATATGTGTACGGGTTGATTCAAGTCTCTATATCATATCAGTAAAACAAAACAACAGTTAGAGATGTAAAAGTAGTAACAATCATGATTGTGGTAAAAAAAAGATTATTCACAGATTATGGCATCCTTTGATTCTACTGTTTATGCTTTGAATGCCGAGGACTTTGCAGTACGTGTCCCTACGACTCGTGATCAGAACAGTCAGTCAGATGCAACGTAGAACTTCGTACATAAGTACATCAGTTCATGTTGCCATACCACATCAGCACAGAGAAGCCATTGTCAATTCAAATACAATAGTACAAGAGGTAGTAAAAGTATTAGAAGTAATCGAAGAGGTTAGAATTAGAAGATATTATTCAAAAAGTATGATTCAATGAGAAAAGTTTAGAAAGTCAAAAGTAGAGGGGTTGGATAATCCAGAAGATTAGGATTTGAGAGAACACAAAGAATAAATGCACCGGCGCCACTGCGAACGATTTTGAGCCATGTCATTCAGGGTATCTAACCATCGATTATTATCATCTCGCGGACCCCAACCAGGTAGTCGACAACTACCGACATGACTCAGTCCACTCGTCAATGATTTCATGGATTTCTGCCATGTTTTGGTTTGGCCACCCCTAGTTTTCTTCCAACCTACTCCTACACCACAAAACAAAGCTCGTGGAGGCAGTTGGTGGTTAGGCATACGTAACACATATTCCAATCACCTCAACTGATGAAGTGTCACTACTTCATCTATTGATCTGTCATTCTTACCTAGCACCCGTTTCTTAATAACAGTGTTGCTCACTCGTGTGTCCCAGGATTTACGAGCAATGCTTCGAAGACACCTATGATCGAAAACCAATAACCTACGATCGTGATCAGAACACAATAAACTGATGATGAGGGTTTATTTATTTCCTTAAAATTAATCAAAATGATATTTGGTTATACTCATTTATGTTAATTTATTTCTTTGAGATACATAAAGATATATGCGTCACACAAACTATCCAATGTGTCAGTCAGTTGGGATCTTGCTCAGATGACGAAACCTAAGGGGGCAATTCTCTTGGGGGGGGGGGCTACTCCATCCTTTAATGCAGTAAAGTAGCGTAACCAGTGACGAACTATGGGTTTATACATCACTGGTTCACTTCGCACTCTGGAGCCCATGTACACGATTCGTCTGATATGAGAGTTTTTCAAGTCCTCTGTGCCTACCAACCCCATTTAAGCTATAGCCAGACATTCGCTTTCAGTTTGAATTTTCTGGACAATATCTGTGCTACGGAAAGATAGTGAGTAGGATTTCTGTGGTAGTGGCTATACATGCGATTCCATATGAGAGCATTTGGAGAGGAAAAGTAGACTCTTTCTCCCATTGTCAATTGTACTAGGCATCGCTTATAATATCACAGATAACATGTTTCATGGAATGAAACGTACTAGATAAATTGAAAAAACTTGAGTTTATAACAAAAATGAATCGGTCTTTGTATCTAAACTATTGTAACAGATTTTGAGTCATATTACCCAAGTACTACAGTCATTATTTACAATAGTCACATGGAACTTGATTAAGTAGTCTCCGCCTAAGAACATGTACAGCTCAGTTTAATAGTTGATAACTTTGTGGATTGATGTTTTATTTCCAGTTTGGTGGCTACTAGCTGTTTGTCAACCTGCTTATACACTAGCAAACATCGTAGTCATTCAGTCAGTTACAACAGAGAACTCCGTACATACGTACGTACAGAAGTTCAGGTTGCCATACCACATGATTAACACAGAGACGCAAATGCCGATTCAAATCCCATAGTAGTAGAGCTGATGATAGAAGTATCACTGGTAATGAAGAAGATTAGGGGTTCGAAGATATTACTCAACAAGTATAATCTAGTGAAGTAAATTTAAAAAGAGACAGATTAAGGTGATGAAGAATCCATAGGATTAAGATTTGAGAGAAACCAAAGAATGGATGCACCTGTGTCATTGCAAACGATTTTGAACTATGCCATTCAAGGTCTCTCTTGTGGACTCCAACCAAGTAGTCTAAATCTACCAACATGACTCAGTCCAGTTGTCAGTGACTTCATGGATTAGTGTCATGTTTCGGTCTAGCCCCGTAACAGTACACGTCACTCCAATACCGTATAGATTAAACCTCTTGAGTCAAGGACTAAAGACGTGTCTCTTTAAGAAGTAAGTAGTTGGTTGAGCATTAATGAACTGTATGTTCAACCCTAACCCGAGTGAGCAACACTGTTATTAGGATACGGGTGCTAGGTAAGAATGGCAGATCAATAGACGCAATAGTGACACTTCATCAGTTGAGGTGGTTGGGACATGTACTGCGTATGCCCAACCACCAACTGCCTCGACGAGCTTTGTTTTGTAGTGTAGGAGTAGGTTGGAAGAAAGTTAGGGGCGGCCGAACCAAAACATGGCAGAAATCCATGAAATCATTGACAAGTGGACTGAGTCATGTCGGCAGGTGTCAACTACCTGGCTGGGGTCCGCGAGGTCATAATAATCGATGGTTAGAGACCTTGAATGACATGTCTCAAAATCGTTCGCAATGGCGCCGGTGCATTTATGCTTTGTGTTCTCTCAAATTTAAATCTTCTGGATTCTTCAACCCCTCTAGTTTTGACTTTCTAAACTTTTCTCATTGAATCATACTTCTTGAATAATATCTTCTAATTCTAACCTCTTCGATTACTTCTAATACTTTTACTACCTCTTCTACTATTGGGTTTGAATTGACAATTACATCTCAGTGTGTTGATGTGGTATGGCAACATGAACTGATGTACTTACGTACGAAGTTCTACGTCGCATCTGACTGACTGACTGACTGGTGTTCTACCCCATCATTATTCCTAAGTAGTTGAATTTTTGTATGAACAATAAGATTATGCATTGTAACTCTCATAAATGTCACTTTCTTTCAATTCTTTTTAATTTTTTCCAGTCTATTCATCAAGCTTCCATTGAAATAGATTCATTGCAAAATTCTTCTTTTCTGTTATCACAAGAAGATTCTCCATATTCAAGTACTTCAACTCCTTCTAATACAACTACCATCACCACTGCCACAGTGTCATCATCTTCATCCACATCATCATCATTATGTACAGAGAATAATTCTTGCTCTGAATGTCTTTCCATCTCATCGCATACATCATCAGCATCTATCTCACCAGCATTGTCTTTCGATGCATTCAACGCCGCCTCCACAACACCGACAACCACTTCACTGGATGAACACCAACAGCACCACAATTCAGCTTTCATGTTAATTAATTCTTTAACAAATTTAAATCTAATGACCACCACTTCAACTACATCATCTGATTTATATACTGTTAAAGATTTATGTTGTCATAGTAATTTGACTATGACAAATATTTTTTAATTTTTATATATATATATGTGTATATCTACATTTTTCAAACAACATTGTATGCTTTACGCTTGTGTAGTTAGTTAGTTTATCATTATTATTTCTACACACACACACACACAGTTGTGTTTCGGTTTTAGTTTTCTTTTGAGGAGAGCAGAAAAACGATGATGATGATGATGATGTTGATAATCTTGTTCAATGTCTCAATGTCATCATCACATACTACTGAGATGACTGAAGCAGGCGTTGAAGATTGTATTGTTATTGTAAATTTACACTCTGAGTCAATTAAAAACGAACACTGAACAGACCATCTTTGAGTCGTGACTTCCAACACTCCATCCTTCTTCTTCCATTCCTGTTGTTACTTCCTGTTGGTACTCTATTCATTTCTTGCTTTTGCTTCATATGCTTTCCGTTTTCCTCTTCTGACCGTGCAAATTCTTCGTCTTTCACGTCCCTTCTTATACTACTTACTACTTATATCGTTCGTATAAGTAGTAGTACACACCATACAACTACTTACTGGCTTGCTTGCTTATTGAATGTTGAATGGTGAACGTTGAATTGAAATTACTGCTGATTCTCTTCCTCTATCTCTCTCTCTCTCTCTCTCTCGTGTGTGCTAAATTACACATTTAGGTATTTTTTTTATTTTATTTTTCTGTTGAAAAAAAGTCCCTATTTCAACATGATGAGCATGGCATGTTATTATATACTTCATTCAATTGGATGTTACATCTGCGTCAAAGAGGAAGGATCGATAGATTAGATTTTGTTTGTGCATGCCTTGTTTTATTATTCAGCTTTATCTAGTCACATAAAAATTTTGAATAAATGTTTTAACAATCAAATTGAAATTTATTCAATTTATTTATTTTTTCTAAAAAAAAAACGCATTTTAAATTGTTCTCTTAAATTTTGTTTTTTACTAATTCGGTGAACTACTTAATTAACGATTTAAGTAGTATTGTTTGTATGGATAAAAAACAGTAGAAGTTATTTGTAGGCTGTTTTAGTTCAGTCGTGCCAAATGCTTAAGTACAATACTGAGTGATATTGTCGTGAAGGAGTACACAGGTGAGGGTGACCGAATTGTATTTATCGTAAATTACAGAGTTACTCAATAAAATAGGAAAACCATATCGTAAATCGTTAATTTGCAAAATATCAATTCATCATATCGTACTGGACTGTTCCCGTTGCAAAACATCAATCCATTGTCACTATTCATGCGTTTCATACAAATTCCATTGTGTTCCCACTCTTCCTTTCTTGATCTTTCCCCATCTCTTGCTGCCAGACATTAAGTTTTTTTACTCGCGTCATATACTACTTATAAGTAGCGCGCACCACAATATGAGTATAAATCAGATAAATTGATTAGCACTAATTGTCGGCGGAATTACACGTACACACACACACCTTTACGATTAGCTAATAGTTGGGATGAATGAGATGTAGGTCATGAAATTACCTACCTCTTATTGATCATCACTTCTAAACAGTTTCTCAATAAATACAGAGAAGTGGTAGTTTAAAACTGTTAATTTTATGAAAATTACAATCAAACATGTAAGTGAACAACAATGTTGGTGTTGTTTTCAATTAGATTGTCATCAAGCTTCATTCTCCTTAATATACATGAATATTTTTATCTGAAAAATGTTAAACCAATGAAGGCAGGTGTCTTCGAAGCATTGCTTGTATATCCTGGGACACCCGAGTGTGCAACGCTGTTATTAGGGATCGGGTGTTAGGTAAGAATGGCAGATCAATAGACGCAGTAGTGACACTTTATCAGTTGAGGTTGTTGGGACATGTGCTGCGTATGCCTAACCACCGACTGCTTCGACGAGCTTTGTTATTTGGTGTAGGAATAGGTTGGAAGAAAACTAGGGGTGGCCAAACCAAAAGATGGCAGAAATCCATGCAGTCAGTGACAATTGGGACTGAGTCATGTCGGTAGTTGTGGACTACCTGGTTGGGGTTAGCGAGATGATAATAATCGATGGTTGGAGACCTTGAATGACATGGCTCAAAACCGTTTGCAATGGCGCCCGTGCATTCATTACTTGTGTTCTCTCAAATCCTAACCTTCTGGATTCTTTGAACACCTCTAGTTTTGACTTTCTAAACCTATCTCACTGAATCATACTTATTGAGTAATATCTTCTAATCTAAACCTCTCCGAATACTTCTAATACCTTCACTACCTCTTCTACTATTGGATTTGAATCGACAATTATATCTCTGTGCTAATTTGGTGGTATGGCAACATGAACTGATGTACTTACGTACGAAGTTCTACGTTGCATCTGACTGACTGAATGAAGGCATTTTATTATGAGTTAATCATTACAAGAAACAAGAGATTACGTAGCTACACATCGTAGGTGGAAAAGTACAATAGTTGATAGTAGAAAGACAAGTGTACAAGAATAAAGTTTTTACCGATAGTTCAACACTGGAAACAATAGTAAGTCAAACGTGAAAATCATCATCACAAGACATTAAAACTATTACGTAATAAGCAGTGTGTGTCAATAATTACATAGTGAGGAATATAAACGGAAGAAGGTGGGAAATTACGAACCATTGAAGGATGTGAAAATAGTGCTAATAATAAGTTATATCCAGTCAAGGAAAGGATAGGGATGTCAAGAATTTCTTTTGAACACATAAATCGGGGTTGAATGTATGGATTCCTATGGCTTCTGCGATTTGTAGCAGACGGGATTGAACTCCGTTGGGAAATGATAGAGGTATACAATAGATCACTCGAAATGATTCAGGTTTATTTATATTGTGACCACTATTGATCAGATTTCTCAAACTATACAGGGACATGTTCACTCATTCATAGGTCGAAATGCCTGGTAGTACGATCGATATAACTGTGGTGCACGGTACTTATAAGTAGTATATGACGCGAGTAAAAAGGACGTAATATCTGGTAGCAGAAGATGGGGAAAGATCAAGAAAGGAAGGGTTAGAACACAATGAAGTTTGTATGAAACGCATGAATAGTGAAATGTCAGACAATGGATTGATGTTTCGCAACAGGAACAATCCAGTTCGATATGATAGATTGATATTTTGCAAATTAACGATTTACGATATGGTTTTCCGATTTTACCAATTAACTGTGTAATTTGAGAAAAATACAATTCGGTTGCCTTCACCTGTGTTCCACTTCACTACATAACGATCTCTACAGGAGCCGCTAAATTTGTAAATGCACATTAATTTGTGATATAGTTGGACTTATAAAAGAAGGAATACTGAGTGTTTTCGGTTTATGTAACGAATGAAAAATCAATCACTTGATATTATTACATGGCTGTGATTTAAGACGGACAATAAGCGGTAGATATCGAGAATTAGTTAGACTGCAATAATTGAACGTTGATCAGTGAAATCATCAAATTCCTCCGTTCAGGAGTTATCATAGTCATGAATTTCATTTGCAACTTGATCATCTGTTAGGATATTCATCCAATATCCTAAGAGAATCATTGTTCAAGTTTTATTGGTCAAAATTATGGTCGTTTTAATTGTCAAAGTCAAATACTTCAATGTTATCCCTTATTGGTCATCCGGACTGTCAATGTCATTTCAAATGTTACTTCCTATTGGTCGTCTTAACTGTCAATGCCACAGAATTCGATGCTGTTTCTTATTCGACCGAAATGTATAAATACGCATTATCTGTAACATTTTATGACCACGACCAGGACCCGGTCCTGGATCCCTAGTCCGTGATCCTGGTTCTCTTCTGGAATCGGACCTCGTACTTTCTGGATACTTGTAGAATGCACATCCTACTTCATATCATGTCTTCTTATTTTAACTAAATAATCGGATTCGAGTAACATGTCGTGTCACCGGATCCTCGATCCTCGCTCTCTCGCGTTTCCGACTAGGTAAACTCGTAATACTTCAAGTGTATCAAGTTGACGTGTTTACGTGCAGGTGTAACATCATCATAACACTTAAAGAGCAAATCTATTTATCTGATAGTTTTATTCTTGTGTTTATACTAATTGATAGAATGTTGGACATTGAACATGGGATCGGACATCATTAATATCAAATATAATTAGTAACGAATGATTCAAATGTTATGGTAAAATGACGTACTTAGAAAATATGAGGTCGACAAGTATACAAATCGAGTTTATTTATACATGATAGAAACGTCCTTGAGAGAGCCACAAAAATAGCGTACTCAAATAATCCATTAACCAATGACAGTCTAGGATTTTTCAAGTGGGAAATGTAAGCTCAAGGTCAACTAAGCAACTTGTGCACGCTAACATAAAAAATCCAAGATTAGGCTCCTTTCCAAGTGAGTTCTGTAGATCTAACGTCCCAAACACAACCGAAATTTTTTCAAGCATAACTACCTGAAATTTTTCAATTAGAGTTATGGAGATCAGTGTTTTTACTCCTTGAAATCCTAAATCAAACATTGTTAGACCACCATCAGAAACCTGGAAGCACTGAATAGATGGCTGTTTCATCTCAGCATGGGACTCATCAGCAGTGCGTATCCATGACTCCTGAGACTCGCAGGATTCCAACCCGAGACCTTCGGTCTTGAGCGCGAACGCATAACATCTGGACCACTGAGCCGACATCAAACGGTTTTACTGTCTAACTTTGATCAATCTAGGAATTTCGCGCAACCTCAATTATTTGTCTTCGGTAGTAACTACACCCAACGGCGTTGAACTCTACTGAGGTCACACCTTCTCACTAGAGATTCGTCTAAAATATTTTGGTATTTACTTCTTGCAATTTGGGTTCGCATTAGTTTTTTTGAAGCTAGGTGTCACCTAGAAATTACTACTGGATAAGTCTAAGTGTTCAGATTCCCATGCCTGTTGGGATCAAAGTGTTGTAAAAGACTAGAAAACTTATTAAAGAAATTGAAGAATTAGAGTTAAGCTATTTATCACGAACTGACATTAGCTATAATGCCGAAATATACATACAGGAATTCCGCGCCAAAAATCTTAAATATATCTTGTTTGGCCATAAATTTTAGTCTAGTTTCAATTAAAAACTCAAATGGTTCATTTTGAATGTCTATAGATTCATCAGGAACAAAAGAAGTACAATAAATTTTCTGATTTCTGTGACATTTTTCCAAAAAATACCCACTACATATATTTGAAATCTTTTATACAATTGTGAAGATTGTTGAGTTTCATTGAAATAATGAATCGAACATTGTTAGATACCTGGAAGCACTGCATGGCTGTTTTGACCTAGTTAGGGACTCTCAATGAGCGGATATGACTCCCATGGGCGGGAGTCATATCAGAACGAGACTACCGTCCAGTGCTTACAATTTTCTAATAGTGTGGTCTATCAATCTGTCTGGATATTCATCCAATATCCTAAGAGAATTATAGGTTAATTCCTATTGGTCCATTCCTACTGGTCAAAATAAATGGTCGTTTTAACTGTCAAAGTTAAATACTTCAATCTTGTCTCTTATTGGTCATCCGGACTGTCAATGTCATTTCAAATGTCCTTTCCTATTGGTCGTCGTCTTAAACTGTCAATGTCACAGACTTTGATGCTCTTTCCTATTCGACCTAAATGTATAAATAGGCATCCTCTGTAACGTTTTATGACCACGACCAGACCAGGGCTCGGTCCCGGACCCCTAGTCCGTGATCCTGATTCTCTTCTGGATTCGGACCTCGTACCTTCTGGATGCTTGTGGAATACAGGTTCTACCTCATATCAAGTCTTCTTATTATTACTCAATACGGGGGTTGGGATAATAGGATTTGAGTAGCATGTCGTGTCACCGGATCCTCGATCATCGCTCTCGCGTTTCCGACTAGGCACACTCGCAATAGTTCAAGCATATCAAAATGACGTGTTACGTGCAGGCGTAACACAGCCATTGGTTCATCGCTTCAAAATATTCGATAATCGTTAAACAAAATTCACAGTTCGCAGATAAGATCGAAATCCTTCAAAGCCTTCAATAATAACAATTAACCAACTGTAGGAACATGACAAATTACTTGCTGTAAGCAAAAAGTCTATATCCAAATTTTAGTAACTTATTAGATTATATTTTCGCCTTTTACTCACAAAATGCAGAACTTGTTTATTTAATTAACAAATAACACAGTTTATTATTTCAAAGTATACAATTTATTTATTTTGTTGGTAAGAATTTACAAAGTATCATGTAAATTTTACGATATCATACAACAGGATACTAAAATAGTGGTGGTTCGATGTAGTTAACAGGTAATTCTGCTTGCCTGATCTAGGTTTCATGGTATATGGCACTAGTCATCAAGAAATATTTACTTACTTACTTACTTACTTACTTACTTACTTACTTACTTACTTACTTACTTATTTACTTACTTACTTACTTACTTACTTACTTACTTATGCACTTACTTACTTACTTACTTACTTACTTACTTACTTACTTACTTACTTACTTACTTATTTACTTGCTGACTTACTTACCTACTTACTTACTTACCTACTTACCTAACTACTTACTTACTTATGCACTTATTTATGCATTTACTTACTTACTTACTTACGCCTGTTACCCCGAATGGAGCATTCGTTGCCGACCAGTATTATCCAACCTACTCTGTCTTGGGCTTCCCTTTCGATGTTCTGTCCTGCTTTTTTTTCATTCTTCTCATATCTTTCTGTATTTCTCGGCGTAATGTGTGTTTCTTGGCCATCCACTTTCCACTTCTAGTGCTTTATCATGATTTCTTCGTCCACTGGATCCTGGTTTGTTCTTTCCTACAGTAGGTTGCTGCTGATGGTGTTTGGCCAACGAATCCGAAGTATTTTGCGTAGAAAACTGTTATTAAGGACTTGTATCTTCTGGATGATGGCTTTCGTAGTTCTCCAAGTTTCCGTCCCATACAGTAGAACTGTTTGAACATTTGCATTGAAAATACTGACTTTTGGTGTTTGCTGACAGTTGTTTTGAGTTACGAGGCGTTGTTCAGTGTGGTAGAAATTCAGCCCTTGCTTTAGCGATGCACCCATTCATATCTATATCGCATCCATCTTGCTCGTCAATGAGGTTGCCTAAATGTGCAAGGTTTTTTACGTCCTTCAAGGCATCCCCATCAAGAGTAACGTGGTTGGTCATCAAGGTATATATCTGTAAATGTTTAGAGGGCTGATAGTTTTTTAGAGGATTCGATGTAGTGACATCCTCTTGACTACATCCAACCATGGTGCATGCGATTTCAAGTTATCTAGATTAGTGTCCACCTTCTTACTTGACCAATAGAATTGATTCAGGGCTAAGAAGAACATGATATTGGTTATTAGTACCCAATGATTGACCAATTATAAATAGGTTACTATTCATAGTAGTCAAGTTTTACATTAAAACAAGAAATTTCATTTGCATATACAGCGACATTTGAAAGAATTGAACATGATGATGTTTTTAATGTGACACTCATTACTGCTACCAAGTCACTTTCAATGTTTATTTAGTCTATTAAAATTATTAAATGATCAATATATTTTATTTCTCTTGGACATTGATCAAACTAAGATCTACTATGAGAAACAATCTAATTAAAATAAAATAAACTTGTATCATAAAATCACGATATTGAAGCTTACGTAGAAAGAATAACATAAAATTCCAATGTTTAATATCAACTTTTCATAATAAGGTTGTGGTGATTGTTAAGTTTCATTGAAATCATGAATTGATCATTTTGAGACCACCATTAGAAGCTTGGAAGCACTGGACGACCATTTCGTACTTGTATGAGACTCATCAGCGATGCGCATCCGCGACCCCTGCTTGCAAGAATTGAGCAGAGGACCTCTGGTCTTGCGCGTGAATGCTTAACATCCAAGGCACTGAGCAGACATCCATCCATGATATTGCATGACCTAATTCAGTGTCTTTGGTGAGTAACTGTCTCACACCTAATGTGGTTAAACTGCAATGGTCATGTTTTCTAGCTAGGACTCTGAGAATTCTTTCACAAAGCGAGTCAATAGTGAGCACATGATAGCTGTCTTTATAAGGTTGTAAGGATTGTTGAGTTTCATTAAAATCATGAATCGATCATTATTATACTACCATTAGAAACATAGAAGCACTGGACCAACATTTCGTCCTGATATGGGACTCATCAGTAGTACTCATTCACGACCACGATGCATCCATGAACAATCATCATTTCAATGAATCTCAAGAATCTCTACAACCCCATAATGGAAATCATAAAAAATATGCTCACTAGTAACCATTTTCGTGAAGAAATTCTCGAAGTTCTAGTGAGAAGACATGACAGGTGAATTTTACCTCAGTCGGTGTGAGGAAGTTATCGAACGAATACAATGAGCGTGGCTGCCTAATACCTTAGCGAGATTAAAGTTAGACATTGACACTGTTGGATACAAGCTCTCTGGTCTAGAGTTTAAGCGTTCGTATATGACATCGTAGGTCCTTGGTTCGATTCCCAAGTGCAGGTGTCATGGATGCTCATTGCATGAGTACATATGAGTACGAAACGGCCGTCCAGTGCTTACCAGTTTCTAATGATAGTCTAACAATGATGGATTTATGATTGCAATCTAGATTTATTTGACAATCGTTTATGTACCCCGATATGTATCTCGAATCACAGAGTTAAATGGCAAAATAGAAAAACCATATCGTAAATCGTTAATTTGCAAAATATCAATCCATCATATCGAACTGGACTGTTCCTGTGGCAAACATCAATCCATTTTCTGACATTTCACTATTCATGCGTTTCATACAAATTCCATTGTGTTCTAACTCTTCCTTTCTTGAACTTCCCCCATCTTCTGTTGCCAGACATTAGGTTTTTTTACTCGCATCATATACTACTTATAAGTAGCGCGCACCACAATACTGTCTGTCTGTATTTCAACGTATTTTTAAAAAAGAATCATTACTTGCACACTGATTTGATTGAATGAATCAATTTAACCGAGAAACACTAGACAATCGTTTTATCTTAGCTAACATCTTCTTACCCACTTATAGACATCATAACTGTATACAATATTGAACCATGAACTCAAAACGAAAACTGTAATGACCAAGACCAAGTATGATATGAAATTCTTTGACTTTATCCAATATAATTGACATTCATTATGTAGATTTGTTGGGGGACGTTAGATCCCTAGAACTCACTTTAAAAAGGTCCTAATTTTTGTAATTTTATTCTGAACTTTTGAATTTCCATGTTTTCGCGCCAGAGACGCTCAGTGGGCATTCAGCTTACATATACGCCTCGGAAGATCCTGGACTGGTATTGGTTGATGGGTTATTGTAGTAGGCTATTTTGTGGCTCTCTCAAGAGCGTTTCTATCATTGTATAAATAAGCAACCTAGTATTTTCTAGATGCTTGTAGAATACATTCTCTACGCCTTATCAAGACTTCTTGCTTCTAGTTAACTATCCTGAGACAATCGAATTAGAATAGTCTATCGTGTCCTGTCAATGTTCGACTACCACAATTAGAAACCTGGAAGCACTCAAAGGCCGTTTCGTCCTGGTATGGGACTCTTCAACAGTGCGCATCCACGACTCCTGCACCTCGCAGGATTCGAACCTAGGGCGCTCGGTATTGTAGGCGAACGCCTAACCATCGGACCACTGAGCCGGTATCTAACGGTGTTAATGTCTAACTTGCTCAATTCATGGAGTTGCGCAACCTCATACACAGTCTTCGGTAGTTCCTGTTTACACCCGAAAAGGTTGAACTTCAGTGGTCACGTCTTCCCACTAGAACTCGGAGATCCCTCACGAAGCTAGCCACTAGTGAGCACAGGCGTTCGCCTACAATATCAAAGATCCTAGGTTCGAATCCTGCGAGGTGCAGGAGTCGTGGATGCGCACTGCCACTGAGGAGTCCCATACCAGGACAAAACGGCCCATCTTTCAGTGCTTCCAAGTTTCTAATGGTGGTAGTCTAACATTGATCGATTCATGGTTTCAAAAAAAACTAGCATAACGTCGTCGCATACTAAACTACTTCAAATCATTAATTTCCACCAACTTTACAATTGTCAATAAGTTAACACCGCCCCCCACCTCCACCGCCACAAGTCAACATAACAACTGAATTATTTATTTTTCGTATGAAAATATTTGAAAATATTATTGTGTGTTTTATTGTTCGCTTTGCTTGAGAAAACATTTTTCTGTTTACTAAGTAATCTTACACGTTTCATGAAAAATGTAAACAAGTTTTAATCAGTATATATATATATATATATAAGTAGTATCGTCAAGTGTTAGTTCAATAAATTGTTGTTCTATCGTAGTAATAATATTATCGAATAATGTCTTTAAGTTTAACCCTAGTATTTATTATTACTACTACTACAGTCACATTATTGCAACCATGTTTAAGTAATATGAAAGTTGGTGGAATCTATCATATTCATCGAGATAAACAACATATTTTAAATGATTCTGTTGTTACGCAATCAGTGGTATTAGCTAATCAAATGTTGAATTCTGCCCAATGGTATGTGAAAACTAATTTAACCAATTTAACTACACAAGTAAGGAGCAGTGTTGTTACTGATATTAATAATCATTTTCTCCTTTGTAAATTAGATTGTCAGTGGTTTATTGTATCGATATAATTTACATTTGACAATGACTAATTGTACTAAAAATGCATTAATGCAAAATGTGAAAAAAAATCAAAATCCAAATCCGATGATGATATGTGAAGAAAATTGTGATACTGTAAGTTGTGAAAAAAGAAATTTACAAAATTTACAATTCATTGTCGATTGTTGTTAAAATGCGATTATTGTTAATCATGTCTATAACTAATTTTAGTTATGTCCATAACTTAACCAATCAAACTGTGGTTTAAGCGCCTGTCACGTGATCTGATTTGACGTGTGTGTCTGTAAACTTTCTTTGCTGTATGTAAATGACCTACTAAGTGAAGGACACTTATTATATTGATATGACTCATAGTTTTATTGATTTCCATAAGACACGCTACTATTGGTCGGTACGTTCTCTCGTCTTGAGAAGGCTGAGGCAGGCGCGGAAGATTGTATTGTGGAAATTTACAGTCTGAGTCAATTGAAAACGACAACATTACATTGAATACCCTATTTGCACACCATCTTTGAGTCTTGACTTCCAACGCTCCAGCCTTCTTCCATTCCTGTTGCTACTACCTTTCCTTCCTGTTGGTACTCCATTTACTTCTTGCTTTTGCTCTATTTGCTTTCGGTTTTCCTCTTCTGACTGTGAGACTTCTTCTTTCACGTCCCTTCTATATACTACTACTTATATCGTTCGTATAAGTAGCACACACCATAGTCTTACTTAATGATAATTGTAATTTCCTCATTTATTGTACTAATTTAAGTGTTTTTATTGTTTAGAAACAGATAAAGTTTAAAGCAAAAAAGTTGATCTTGTTCTGACTATTAGCTTTTTCATAGAGTCATTCTGTGCTCGCCAATATTGCGTTTATCGTTGTAGAATTACATCTGTAGGACAAAATTAAATCCTACAATTATTTTATGACAGGGGATATCACTTGTAAAGTGTTGAATAATGGATAAATGTTTATTTTGATTGATAAAAAAATCACCGAATGATCTTTGGCTACATCGTCATTGAGAATTTTGTGAGTATTGCTTGATAGTTTAGTCCTAATAGGGGAGTAGAGCACATCCACGACATTGACAAGTCTAATTCTTAACTTCTAAACTTCTACTTGACAGTCAACAGTGTTAATGTTGAACTTGTATAAATCTTCATGATGCAGAGCACAACATTTATCTACTGCCTCTGCGCGACAACTGTTTTCTGCTTGTTAAATTGTTAAACTACCCCATTAGAAACGTGGAAGTACTGGACGGTCATTTCGTCCTGATATGGGACACATCAGCAGTGTGCATCCACGACTTCTGCATATCACAGGATTCGAACCCAGGACCTTCAGTTTTGCGCTCGAACGCCTAACTTCTGAACCGTTAAGCCGGTATTTTTTCATGTCTGCTTCCGATAATCGACATAATGTGTTCCAAGTACCAACAGATTGTATCTTGTTATTTCTGCAACAACTCTCCCAGCCTCCAACAATGTGTGAACATTCCATGTACCTGTATTATTTATTGGCTTTCTCTGGTTGTCCGATATTAGAAAAAATAAATTGAATCAGATGATTGGAAAAGGAGTACATTAAAAGATTTCTTTGTCATTTGTACATCAATTTATGGGACTTTATTAATCACTTATCGATTGAAACATAAAGATTCCAGCTTAAGGTGAAAGAGTTAATTTACAAAATGAATGTTTGTACATAACAATGAAACAGTTTGATTAACTGATTAAAAATTTTGCATTTTTAAAGTATTTAGAGATATTATCAGTTCAAATTGAGTGTAAATGGATCAACCATTCTTAGAGCACCATTAGAAACCTGGAAGTACTGACAGATGTCCATTTCTCCCTGGTATGGGATTTATCGGCAGTGCGCATTCATGACTCTTGCACCTTGTGTAATTCGAGTCCAGAACCTTCAGGCTTCAGCGCGAACGCTTGATCTTCACTTCCTGCGACTAGCATGAATGGTAGGTGTGCACGGCCACTGATGAGTCCTATATCAGGATGAAATGGCTGTCTGGTGCTTCCAGATTCCTAGTAGTGGTCTTACAATGATTGATTCATAATTTCAATGTGTAAAAAGACAATGATCTCTGTAATTCTAATTGAAAAGTTACTTACTAGCACCTGTTACCCCCCAAAGGAGCACATCAAAGAGCGAATACCCAGATTCGTGCACACTTTTTCTCATTGCGAGTTGTCGCAACTTGGAATGCTCTCCCAGCCCAGGTAGTTTCAGCCCCCTCAGTGGACTGCTTTAAGAAGAGACTTGATAATCACGTACTTACATACGGACTATCATCTCCCTCTTGTACAAGCTGTTCATGATGTATATCTTGAGACCTGCTAGTTGTTACCATTGCCATCTCCTCAGATCACTCAATTAATCTATCTCGCCCATTATCTCTGTTTCCTCTCCCTTGCTTACACTTCGGTCCTCTCTCACAATCTTCACTACCAATTAATAATCTAAATTCATCTATATATTACTCAGTTCTGAAATTTTATTCATATTATCATTTCACTTTTATCCTTATTACCCTTATTACTCTTCAAATTGCAACTAACTGATCTCCGGTTTGGTAATGTAATGGCCGCTAGTATCCAGAAACTCTACTGCCTTGAAACAAACGTTTCATTCAAATCCCGAGACATACAAACTCACAACCAACTGCCAACTGACTAGAATTAGACAGTCGAGTGGCTAGACCTCCATCCATTGGACATTACCAAACACCTGAAATCATACCGAAAGAACAAGAATCGAGCGCAAAGAAATCAAATTGGTTTACACTAGCTCGTGAAAAAGATATTAGATTATTTTCGTTGATCAAAAGACATCTGACTATGTACTATCATAAAACACATTTAAAACTAACTTCTCATGCAGCTAATTTCTATAAAATTAATTCCAAATTAGTATGATGGTTAGTAGATTTTTTCTTTCAAACCGTCATCTAAAGAAATGAAAGGTACATTATTTACTTACTTACGCCTGTTACCCCCAATGGAGCATAGGCCGCCGACCAGTTTTCTCCAACCAACTCTGTCCTGGGCTTCCCTCTCCAGCTCTTCTGTCCAATGTTTGTTCATTCCTCTCATATCTTTCTCTATTTAGTGTGTTCCTTGGCCTTCCTCTTTTCCTTTTGCCTTGAGGGTTCCATGTGAGGGCTTGTCTAGTGACGCAGTTGGGTGCTTTTCGTAGTGTATGTCCTATCCACTTCCACCGCTTCTTCCTGATTTCCTCCTCCACTGGAATCTGACTTCTTCTCCATCAAGCGTGATTCGGTTGGTGCATGTTGTGTTGCATCGGAGAATTTTGCTTTTTCCTCTATGTATGTTGAGACCTACTGCTGCAGAGGCTGCTGCTACACTGGTCATCTTCTCTTGCATTTGTTGTTGAGTGTGCGATAGAAGAGCCAGGTCATCTGAAAGGTACATACATCGTTATAAAAGGATTTCATATATTCATAGTTCCATAAAACCGAACTTTGTCACCATATATTACATAACTTGTATTGTGAACTTTTTTTGTCACTGTTACAGAATCTATATTATAACCTATGAATAATATCCTTATAACTATCGTTTAAAAAAATTTGACATTACCACCTTTATTTTAGGCTAAACAATTATGTAAAGTTCAAGTATTATTCCAACCTTGGAAGAATGTACAATATAAAATCAAAATACTCAAATGTAAACCCCAACTGAAATCATTACACCACAACAGTTGTCCTCCAAAATCTAATCAAACAATAATTCATCATATCAATGCTTCAGCCATTTTAAACAAACAGTTTTAATGGAAGAAAAGAAAAAAAAAAACTTGAAATATTTGTTTCGAAACTCTGATTTTATAAAAAAAATAATTAATAAAAGTTATATTCTGTAACAGGTTTTATCTTTTCTTTCTAAAACAATAAAAAATTTAGAAAAAGAAATCTTTTTTCAATGTATCATCATTCAGTCAGTCAGAATTTCGTCCGGAATTACATCAGTGATCAAGTTGCCATACCACATCAGCACAGAGATATAATTGTCAATTCAAATTCAATAGTAGAAGAGGTTGTAAAGGTATTAGAAGTAATCGGAGAGGTTAGGATTAGAAGATATTATTCAAGAAGTATGATTCAGTGAGAAAAGTTTAGAAAGTCAAAACTAGAGGGGTTGAAGAATCCAGAAGATTAAGATTTGAGAGAACACAAAGAATAAATGCACCGGCGCCATCGCAAACTATTTTGAGCCATGTCATTCAAGGTCTCTAACCATTGGTGACTTTCGTCTCGCGGACCCCAACCAGATAGTCGACAATTACCGACATGCCTAAGTCCACTCGTCAATGACTTCATGGATTTGTGCCATGTTTTGGTTTGGCCGCCACTAACTTTCTTCCAACCTATTCCTACACTACAAAACAAAGTTCATCATTGAGATTGTTTATTTGCATTGTAATCATGAGTTGTTCATTGTTAGACCACCACTAGAAACATAGAAGTGATGGACTGCTGTTTTGTTCTAATCTGAGACTTATCATCAGTTCATACAAGGATAAAAGATTTATTTTATTTAACTCAAACTATGTAAACACAAAAAGGAAACCTGTTATGTTCATTAGTTGATACGCTTGAAACTATTACGAGGTCACCTTAGTCGGTAAAAAAGTTGCAAAGACAAATGATCCAGTGACACGATAGGTTACTCTAATCTGAGCGTCCCAAGGTCCCAAAAAGTAGGGGAAGAAGTCTTGACAAGACCTAGAAGGTGTATTCTATATACACCCCGAAAATACGAGTTCGAAAAGCACACAAATCGAGTTTATTTTTACATGATAGAAACGTCTCTGGGACAATCACAAAGATAGTGTACTAAAATAATACATAAACCAATGACAAACAAGGATTTCCTGGATTGGAAATGTGATCTCAATGTCAGATGATCAGCTCCTGCACGAAAATACAAAATCCGAATTTAGGGCCTTTATCAAGTAGTTTCTAGGGACTTAACGTCCTCAAAAAAAACCAAAATGTTTATGCGATACACAAATAGTTGAATTTGTCAGTGGCATAGGATACTACCGACAAATCGATACCCAAAGCAGATAGGTTTTTTAGAGGGCCCAACTTCGAGCCCTTGACCTCAAAGTCTTGTAGAGACGTGAAATTTACACGCCCACACTTATTCCAGAACAGAAGATTGTATATAGGATATCGATTTTTATTGATACAAAGTCGAGTGATATTAGAATAATATCACGTGTTCAGCTTGTACAATCGATGATTACACGAAGCGATCGATAGATCCGCAGGGATGGCGTGGGTGGCGCTCGAAGAGTGACTGTCAATACAAATAAACAGATGATGTACAATAAAACAGTTATTGTTACATATGTTCAATAATAAGTATTTGTACGTCAGTAATCGTGTTTTTTCGACAAAATAGTTCCACTACAGTCTAAACCACAAAGCAGTGGAGCGACCTTGGGAGATAATATTTCATGATAGGCCGTCATAAACAGTAGGTTCATTCGTTGTTTGTGGCTTAAGAATCCTGCAGCTTATGTGCATCCTTGTTTTCCAACTCCTGTCAGCAGATCCTCCAAACGCATCAAACCGGTCAAAGCACTAACTGAACATTTGCTTTTCGGTTCTGTTAACTTCGTTAGCAACAGCCCTGACACAAGAAGGTAGTGAGTTAGACTTCTTAGTTAGTCGTAATATCCGCAGGTTTTCCTCAAAAACTGAATCAGGTATAATCGTGATCTTCTAGTCTGTAGTTCCTCATTATTGCATAGGAATTTCCGGTCGAAAGACTAGTAAATCCTTATCAAGGAAAATTATCAGTTAGGAATTTTTTGTTAGAAATTTTTCCAAATTTGTCGTGTAATAACCTCTGACATTCATCTAATTTGATATTTAAATGGTGTATAATACATTCGAAAATGTCATCTGCATTATTACACGATGAAAATGGTTATCATTTGAACAAGTTAGTCTTTTTTGATTTAACATCATAAATTCACCATACATTTTGGATGTATTTTACGTATAACTAAGTCGTATGGTATGTACAAAAATTAAAAATTGAACAGTGACCCCATGTGTTTATACATATAACATACATAAAACCCCCCCATAAACGAGATGGCCAACAAATATGGATTATATATTCTTCTCTGTTGAAATGGTGGAGAAAACTTGTAGCTCAGGTGGATGATTGTGGTCAAAAGTCAACAAGAACCAATCAAGCAGAACAAGCTACATGTTAAACGTGGAGAAATTCGAATGCTTCACTTCTGCTATCTGAAGTTTGTGCTGATGATGTTGTTCAGTAGAAGAACAATGAAAGCTCCACAACCAAAACGCATCCAGCTCAGAGAACGAAACACCACCACAATTCTTCTCTGTTGCCAGTTCACGATGGGATTACGATGAAGGGGAAGGTCATAAGTCTGTAGTGGTGTTCATAGTCAACCTTGACTCGTCCCACAGCAGAGCAATAATCGTATCATTATAGCCGATAATTAATGACCAGTTTAAACTAGTTTCCTTCAGATGGTCTTTTGTTTTACATGCTATTACTCCGTAACTATAAATTTGAAGTTTATTATATGAATTGCAGTACTTTCTTATGGTATTAGAACAAGACTGATGGAACGTTTTTCTTAAGTTATAACTCGATAGTAAGCACAAGTGGATTTTTCCGAGAAAATTTTTTTTCTGAGGATTAAATTAGAATCTATGAATGCAAATTCTGATATCTAATCAGAACTGTTTATGTTAGGTTGGATTTAACTCATCAGATTGTAATTATGATCTACTTACAGCCAATTTACGAATTTCTGAAAGCAATAAACTATTAGCTCATTAACACATTAGCACATATTTATAAGTACAAGTCAACCAATGATTCATTATTTATATATTTCTGGTTATACCATAAAATTTTCATTCATAAGCATCGGGACTCTATGCCACTGGAGGATGATTGCCAACCGAAATTACTGGTATTTGCATTGGTCTCGATCGATAGGAGTGAATCAACCAATAATAATGTTTCACTTAGACGCCCATCAATTAAGACTCATCTCGTTCAAGACCGCTTATTAATCTGACTCTTTTCTCTTTAACTACTGATACAGTTATACAGAAGTAACCAACAATTTCTTATTGCCTCATTTTGTTGTGTACCTACTACTATTCGATATATGTATGTTTATTGTTATCCATGTAGTTAACTGTATTATGTTGTAGTTTCTTACTCAATGTATTAATCTGTATTTTACAAACGGCTATCTACATAGAGTTAACTGTTTTAACTAAGACCCAGCTAAGACTCTTTGTGCGGAAGAAAAAGCGATGTGTTCACAAAATTTCGTTTTCAATGACTGCCCACTGTTGTCTGTTCGTTGCCAGTTAGAACCAGCGACTCTGCATTGGGATGCGACTTTTGCAATACATGGGTTAGCTGTCAATGTGGTCCTGCAGTACCTAAATAGTACAATTGGTTCCTTCTGAGTCACCCTTGTCTGTGTTTCTGTTACATTTGTTCGTAGTGCAGATAGACCGAGATAAAAATCATTTTCAGCGAAGCCATAAGCTCCAATTAAAATTAGTCGACCAAACAGGTGACATAGGTGGCCGCAACTCAAATGAATACCTCGAAGGAACTAAGGATTGTAAAAATACCCAGTATCTGTTAATAGTACGAGGCAGAGGGTGGTCGTAAGAAAGGGTGACGGCAACATCACAACTTAAGAAATTCTGCAAATCAGAGACCGGACCGTTCTACAAAACTAGTAAATTTTACTTGATGTTTTGGTATCGTAGTCTAGCCTACTGGAAAGTTGGACTGTCTTTGATGAAGAACGGTGGGATAAATACTGCGCATAGCCTGAAATGAGCAGCAATCCAGCCAAATCGTGGTCGTTAAAGGGAAACTCGTCATGTTGAGTGTAACATGGTACTCGCCACAAGTTGCCAAAGAAATCCTGCTAACTTCTCGGAGTTCCTCGATTAAGTTGTCCTTCTCGGCCCTAATCAGGAACGGCAAGCCTTGGTCAGCATAAGCAGCTGCTATAAATGAATTTTCTACCGTAGCAGTTCAAATGGTTTCCAGTAAGTGTAATCTGTACGCGTATCTCCCAGTCCAAAATTAAAAACACGATAATTCTAGGAGAAAACGGTCTATATTAATTAAAAGATGGAAATACAAAGCAATACCTGGAATTGATGCACTTTCCAGGTCACAATTTCTCCGAAGAGTATCCAAGGCAAGGTAATAAGTCCAACCGCCACCGTATCAATCCAAATATGGCTGTAGCCATATTAAAGATCAAATTTAAACAACATATATACAGTTCAGAAGCAAACATAAAAACTTCAATATAAGTACAAAATATAGAAATAATAACAATATACAATGATAAAATCTCAAATTGGAATCAAATAAAATACCAAAAATGTCAACAGAAAGAGTCCGTCATGTCATAACAAAAATATGTAAACATGGAGGGATTTTCCAAAAAACAAAACATTCAAAAAGGATTCTACAGCTGCCAGGACAACAAATAACACACAAGAGCAGACCTTTAGGAGGTTCATAGATTGCTCAGACTGGTTGTTGATAGCTTGGGTGAAGCTTATGCACATGATGTGCAAAAACGACGGTGCTTATCAAGTAGCGTGGGCCTTCACACTACCATGGCAACTGGCGGCTCGCGGCCGCCTCATCCTTCATACCTCACAGCTAACCAGTCTCCGCGTTCGTTGACTATGAACTCCAAAATTTGGGAAGACTTAACTGAGGCTCTTCAAGCTTGATAGAGCATGAGGAACGATATATCTAGTCACATAAGTTTTTGCAAGAGACTGCCCAGACCTGTGAGACAAAAAGAGAAAACCCGAAAACTGTCCAAACTAATGTCAAATGACCATAGTCAGAGACGCACGCACGAAGACATGAAGGTCGAGGTCTAATCGATTGCATGCACTTCACAAGCAAAATGCTTGAGGTGGGCAGTTTCCATAGAACTGGCCAACTCGGTTTGAATAACTTGTTTGCAAATCCGAAAACAGTTGTTACTGCAGAGGTGCACCAGGTGATGAGGAAAACCACCTAGGTGTTAAAGATTAGGAATATGCTCTCCCAGATTGATCCGAAGGGCATAATAATGACTGATAGGGCGCAGAAGACAGGAGGTGAAGTGACTTATAACGTACATATTTTAACGTTAATTGAACATCAAGCAGATAAAGAACAATCTAAAATCCACTAAAAAATATTACATGAGATAAGTTTAGCTAGGCAAATTTTCTGAAAGTAAATCTGAATGTAGAAATGTTACACTCCCCTAAAATGTTAGTCGTCTGAGATGAAACTTCCGTTCATAGATTCAGTAATACTGAGTCTGAATGAAGTTTTTAATATCTCTGTACGATGATTTGTATTATTTACAGCGCCATAGTTCACCAACAGTTCTTAACTGTAGATTATAGCGAACATCGCTTCAGTGACAACAAAACATCTACTGATGTATTGCTTACTTTTAAAATGCAAAAATCAGAGTTGCTCGTATAACATACTTTATTTAAGGAATTAAGGTAAAATAGATAGCATTTGCAAAAGTATATTCAAACATATCAAGTCGCACCGACAAAATTTTGATCCCTAAACCTCACCAGCGGGCCTGAAATTGGCACTTCTCTTGTAACATGTTCGTTTTTTGAGAATAAATTATTATTATTATTATTATTATTATAGGTTTCGAAAACCGCACAACAAACAAAGCTTCGTAATGCAGCAAAACGTTCTCTCTCTTATAACATGTAAGCTACTGACTCTGACATCTTCAGCAATGTAAAACTAAGCCATTTGCTGATCGAAAATGTATCAACCTGTCTATTAACTGGAAACACCACTGAGTAGCTTAACTACCCACAGTGAACATGATCAAGACCATACTGTGGCATTAAGCAGACAGCGGAAAGAAATTAACTAGAGTCATCTCAGCAATTAAGATGATGGATGAGGTGGATTGTGAGCTGTAATGTAAGAGGAATATAATTTTTTCGGTAGACGTAACTGCTCTTATCAGAGCTAACCGCAAGAAAAGTGAACTGCTTTTTTTAATAACATGGATATACTGTATGCAAATAATACGCGGTTATCCGTTAGTTGAGAGCTTCCTTGGGAATGAGAATAATCAAATTTACTCGATAGATATTTTGACCCTCGTAATGAAAAGTCTAAACATGTAACTGATATTTTATTCCTCGAAGACATCAACAAAAGACACTTTCGATAGGTGTGTGCTACATTTTTAACCTAAGATTCTTGTGTGCACAACGGGAATGTCCAAATCACAGTGCATTAAAAATTTTCGTATAATATCTGAATTGAAATGAGCATGAAATCTGCAAGTCTGCCTTGGAAACTCTAGACCTAAACAATATTCGGTGAACGGTTCTGTGTCCAATGAAATGTTCTCTACCGTGGAAACGGTCCAAACTGATGGACACTCTGGGACAAGCCAAATGTAAAGCTTTCATTCTTGTTGGATTCCTTCCCGAAAACGCATACATACCAGTGGGGTGGGTTACGTCAACCTCGATCCCGAATTCCTTTGAATGAAATTTTAGCAGACCAGCATGTAACCAGTTAGATTAAGTTACCCAAGGTAACATACTCTTTGGATTAATTTCAACCAGTGACTTATTTGTGTCTCGTAAAAAATCGGCTGTGAAATATATCTGATGATTTTATCCTACTCTTACTGAAAAACAGTTTTAGAGTTTTTCAAGTCAGCATTTGCTAGTACTTAAACATAACTTTTTGATAAGGTAGGTCCAGATGATATAGGCTTTTTCTGTGGTACATATTCCTTGAGAAATAAGCCGTAGTACTTCATAAATTGGCCACGCGAAACGTGAAAATACTTCCTTCCTGAAAGTAGCCTAGAATCTGTGATATAAAAACTTGCGTAATGATGCATTACTTGGGCGTTTATAGGAAAGTAGGTTTGAAAAAAATAACTATCATTCGAAAACACTACCAGTTTGATTTTCACTTTCTGTGATATTAGATGAAGTGCAACAAAGCCGCTTCTCGCTATTTTCACCTGACTCGTCCAGTCTTCTAAATGACGATGCACTTGAGTAATTGGACATTTCAAGGGTATTTCACGACCTTGACCAAGGTTATTAAATTAAAAATCTGCCGGCTGGAGGCTGGTTTTATACATATTATGTATAGACCGCATTGTCGTCTGGGTGACTCTTCGTATATTCGTCTTGCCCGATCGTTAAAATCCTGCAAAAGTTTCGATGCTGTACGTATCAGTTAACCATAATTTTTAATGTATGCAGGTGAAGCCATTGGTCGAGTTTTGCCCTGCTTGTGAACCTAACGGAGGATATCTATTGGACGGTCAAGCCCAATGTTCGCTTATAGGTGTTGGAATTTTCCTGGTGGAGTCAAACCTACGGGTTAGCATTAGTGTTATTGTTAATTAGTCTCTTAGTTTGTTGATAGGTTACTGCCTACTCTTCTCAATGTGCTTCGAAAACTGCACAAGAGTTACTTGGTAGACAATATTGTCTGTTCCGATTTTCAAAGTAGAAAAAGTTTTCTTTGACAAATCATTTTGATTTCAGAGCTTCCACAGGCTGAATGTTTTAGTTTCACTCTCTCTAGTCTCCTGTCACAAATCGCCCTCTTGGATCCTACTCGTTCTGATATTGTAAGTTTAAATAAACAGTATATTTCATCTTAGTATATATATTTATGTAATCATATTTTCTATGGTGTCGAGTGTTGTAAGAACCAGTATTTTTAAGTTTATGGCTCAAATTCATATATGTCGCATATTTATAAATCTGCAGCATTAAGCAAATAATTACTACATCCTAATCGTTTTTACTTTCAAGCGAATCAGATTATCGTCATGATGTAGATATGGCTATATGTTCATCTTTTCTGAATCTAGTTGCTTACCTCGAAATTGTGTCGTAAAAACAGTAATTTCCTGTGTTTCTAATCTGCCTAACTTTTCATCACTCAGTTTTTTGTAACTAAATTGTATATGGCCCGTTATAAAGGTCGAAATACAAAGTTAAAACCACATATTCCCGCTTAACAGTTAATTTTCCGATTATCGGTCACACTATAATGTGATTATCTTTCACATAAAGTTCAGATGAACGCAATTGAGGTGGTTGGAACATGTATTGTGTATGCCTAACCACCAACTTCGTCGTCGAGCTGTTTTTCAATGTAGGAATAGGTTGGAAGTAACCTAGGGGCAGCCAAACCAAAACATTGCACATATCCATGAAGTCACTGACAAGTGGATTGATTCTTATTGGTAGGTGTCGACTACCTGGTTGGGGCCTGTGAGATGATAGTAATCGATTGTAAAAAACCCTGAGTGACATGACTCAAAACCGTTTGCGATGGCTTAGGTGTATTCTGATTACCGTCAATACATCTAATATCTCTACCACCAGTGGATTTGGGATTTGAGCTGAATAATCCATCTCTCTCAGCTAATATGGTATGGCAACTTGAACTGATGTACTTACTTACGAAGATTTACGTTGTAACTGACCGACAGATCAATGCATGGTTACAGTTTCGAGTATACCGAATCGTGTTGAAGAAGAACCTGAAAGCGATAGGAAGGATTTCATGTGCTTATTTTGACTTCAAGGCACTTTTACTGTGCAACTACTGTGGGGCAAATTTTGGAACTGGTAACTGAGTTTTTGGATAGCGAAATTTTGTCATGATTTCTTTTTATTAGCAGCATCTTTGTTATGTTTTGCCAAGTATCACTAAGCTATCTAGCTGCATGAAGATTAATCTAAATTCTTTTTTAAGGAGATTTTACTTCTCTTATGATGACTTGACAACATGTGAGATATCTAAAGCCTTTTATAACCATGCGACCACATTCTTGATTTCATGTAAAGTAAACCTAAAGTGACCTTGTTTTCGTTTATAGATTGATGTATGTTTGAAATATTTTCATCTTGATTACGTTCACAGCTTTATGTGATTCGATCAGATTTTTTCCTTTTAAAAACATACATTTTGTCTTCAACAGATCATTTCCGGTATTTTGGATTCTGCAAGTAATATCATTGATCAAATAAATGAATTGTTACAACAGCCGTTGGATCGTTTCGCTGCAGTTTCTGCATTTCTTCGACAGCCACGTGCTCGAAATAATTCACCCGATGTTGCAAAATCTCAGGGTCAACAGCTAGCAGCTGAACGATTGTGTACTTTCTTAGCTCCTGCTTTAATTGGCCTTTTAAGAGGAGCTGCTCGTGGTGTTGGACATGTGAATTTCTCTTCGGATTCTCGCCAACAAAATTCGTTTTCTGTGATATCTGAACTGTACCAGCCTAGGCAACCTGCTAACTATACAGAAAAAATTAAATCTCCAACTTATAGCATTAGTTGTCCTCATAAATTAACAGAAGGCACATGTGAATTCACTTTTAGTGTTTATCCTTCTTTTTGTTGCATAATACCTCATTCTCTTTGTCACTCATTGCTAATGGGTGTTGGTGATAGGAGTTTGGATACAACGGATTCAGGTAAAGACATTTATTTTTTGCGCTAATTTATTGTATTCAATCACTGTCTTTTCTTTTGTAACAGTAAATATAAAACTATAAGGATTTACACAAGTTATTTAAAACTTAAGCCTTTTAAAATTATCACTACCGTATAAAATGAGAGACAAATTTTAAGTCCTGAAATGTTATTTTATTTTTAGACAAGCATTTAAGGTAAATATATGTTCGTGTAGGTTCTACCATACTAGGCAAGTTGATTTTGGAACAGTGAGACTAAAAGCAGCTATCCAAGGGCGTGACTGTAGAGGAGTGTGATAACAGGTGTTTCAGCCGAAAATGAAGAATCTTCAAGGATGCTGTCTTCTCACAATGAAGGAAGGGGTTGGAAAAGGTCTACCGTAAAAATGTCACTCCTCACCTTACCTCACGATTTTCGTCTCTGGGGGTAAGGCTTTTTAAACAAGAGCGGAGCTAATACTTTGAAAACTTTTTATGAAAAGGACGTGCGTGATCAGCCTCAAGCAGTTGTCCGTTGGGCTCTGCGGTCACGCTGTCAGGTCTCTAAGACCGACACTAATCTACTTCCCTTTTCATGCTCCTCAAAAATCACCCTTCCACGGTTTGGGAAGCCGAGAAGTGACATACGCCATCATGCTCGTGACAGTACACGAATAATCTAAACAATTTCAAATTTTTTTATCTATTGTTTTGATGTTTGGGAATTATACATTTAAAGCTGCTTAATGTCTAGCATACTAGAAAATGCATAGATATCGTCAGTGTTATTCACATGCCTTCACAAAAGCCTGAAAGTAATTACCGGACGTAATGATTAGGATTCTTTCTAAATAAAGTCCTGAATTTTCTTATTTTATCCTATTAGGTATGAATGCTCAAGTTAATATTATTTGGCTTATTTAAAACTCTGTATATATTTAAATAATCTTTATTTCTTTTTTCTAAAATGTAACTCTTTAGTTTGATTGTTATTATGTGTTTGTGTCTGGACTCCATGATTAGAGATCAACTGTCTCTGTGATAATGTGGTATGTCAAATTGAACTGATGTTTGTACGTAAGAAGTTCTACGTTGTAGCTGACTGACTGACTGATTAAAGATCAACTTGGTTCCATTAAACGAAAAATCGTGTACATATTTGTTATGACAGTAGATATACTAGGGCTGAACTTCAACATAGCTTTTATTCTCCCTGATACTCGATGTTGCTCGATTTGGTTTTGTGATTTGATTTCGATTGACCTTAGGGTAAGTCAGTCAGTTGCAACGTAGAACTTCGTACGTATGTACATCAGTTCATGTTGCCATACCACCAAATTAGCACAGAGACGCAAATTTCAAATCAAATCCCATAGTGATAGAGATAGTAGAGGTATTATTGGTAATGAAGAAGGCTAGGGTTTGAAGGTATTATACAAGAAGTATAATTCAGTGAGATAAGGTTAGAAAGACAAAGGTAGAGGTGTTGACGATTCCAGAAGATTAGGATTTGAGAGAGCACAACGAATGGATGCACTTGCGCCATTGCAAACGTTTGCATTAGTTGTGCACTGAGATAAAGGAATGTGAGAAGAGTTAGTCGTCGAGATAAGAGAGATATTACGGTGTGTAGGAAGGATTTCATCTTGACCAATTTGGTCTCATGTGCTGTTACGTGTATGAGGGCGGTCGTCACTTCCCGGCTGCCCACACCGTGGAAGGTTGTTTCTTGAGGGACCTGAAAAGGAAGATAGATTAGTGTTGGTCTTAACGACCTGGGAGCGTGTCCGCAGAGTCCAAGGGACAACTGCTTGAGGCCGGTCACGCACGGCCTTTTTTGAGTATTAGCTCCGCTCTTGAAAGCCTTTAGTGGGCACCCTTACTGCTGTCACACCCCTCTGCAGTCAGCAGTACGACTTCGCCCTCAGACCTTGAGTAGCTGCTTTTAGTCTCATCGTTCTCCAATCGACCTGCATGACATGGTAGAACCTTCAGGAACATATGTTCCAGCCAATATAGCTCGATTGGGTGATGACGATAGGCAAGCCCGACTACCACGTCAAGGTAGCAGCTACGGTCGGGTTTATTAACTTACTTTTACTTTACTTTTACTTATTATCTTCACATTTGATGCGGTTCAAATAAACAATTTTTTTTATTTGTCTTTCAACAATACAAAAAAACACTATCAGATACGGAAGTATATGATTTATCAACTAATCCCAATTGGAATTGTTCATGGTTTAATCCAAATGGTAGTGAATATTTACTTGGTCAAGTTGCATCTGTCTATGCATCGCATTTACCACATCGTGCTGTGATAAGTGAAGATCATGTGTCTAGTTATGATGATGGTGTTGTTGTGACATGTTCGGAATATTTAACTTCATCAAATCGTTCTAATAATTTAGCTGTTACTATATTTACATCTAGTCAATTAAGAGCTCTATTAAAAATGGTAAGTTTCGTAGTGAATTACTCGTTTTTTTACAGAGGTCTCTTATAGTCTGTTTTTATTTTCCACTTATGGTGAGTCCCTAGTTGAGTACTTCAAAGATTTTCAACTAGTAGGTGAATGTTGTACATACAATTTTGAACTAAGTGGATCTCACGAGGTTAGTCAGTCTTATTCAACTACAGCGTAGAATTTGGTACGTATGTACATCTTTTCAAGTTGCCATACCCCTACATTATTGCAAAAAGATCGAATTCTCAATTCGGAAAGATCATGATCCGAAGATTTTGATCAAGAAGTATAATTCATTGAAAGAGATTTGAGAAAAGAAAGATGAAGGTCATAAGGAGAAGACAAAGAGTGAATGCACCTGCGCCATTGCAAACAGTTTTGAGCCATGTCATTTAAGGTCTCTAACCATCGATTACTATCATCTCATGGAGCCCAGCCAAGTAGTCTACACTTACCAACATGAATGAGTCCACTTGTCAGCGACTTCATGGATTTGTATCGTATTTTGGTCTGACCACCCCTGCATATTTCTACACCACAAAACATAGCTCGTTGAGGAAGTCGGTGGTTAAGCATACGTAACACATGACCCAATAACTGATGAAGTTTCACTACTTCATCAATTGATTTGTCATCCTTACGTGGTACTCGTTTCCTAACAACAGCATTGCTTTCCAGATGGTTTCAGGATATACGAGCAATCCATTAAAGACATCTGTGATCGAAAACCAGTAACCTACGAATATATTCTACACTAGGATCTCACAGAACTCAGCATTGGAGATCTTTTGTATGAGGCGCTTTGTTATCATCTGAGCACCATCTTTTTTCTCAGACGGCTATAGAAGAAGAGAATTTCAATAATTAATTTATGAATTATGTAAATATAGAATAAGTTGACATTGTAAATCTATTTAGCTTCTATTGTATATTTTATCTACTTACACATTAAAAAAGGGAGGCTGGCCTCTTTTGTCAAAAAGCGTTTTTTCACTGTGTAAGATGAAATTATGATACAACTCATTCATAGGTATGATTTGCTATTGATCTTGAAATAGGCTGAATAAAATAACATGAGAGAATGACGTCAATGAAAGCGAGAGATAGACAAGTATCATTGCAGAGTATGTGACTACTTAATCAGTCAATCAGTTACAACGTAGAACTTCATACATCTGTGTACATCAGTTCAGGTTGTCATACCATCACATTAGCACAGAGACGTGATAGTCAGTTCAACTCCAAGAGTGATAGCTATAGTAAAAGTATTAGCAGTAATGGAGAAGATTAGAGTTCGAAGATATGATTCGAGAAGTAAAATTCAGTGAGATAACTTTAGAAAGAGAAAGATAGAGATGATGATGAATTCAGAATATTAGAATTTTGAGAGAGCAGAGCGAATGGATGCACTTGCGCCATTGCAAACGATGTTGAGCCATGTCATTCAAGGTCTCTAACCATTGGTGACTTTCGTCTCACGGACCCCATCCAGGTAGTCTACATCTACCAACATGACTCAATCCACTTGTCAGTGACTTCATGGATTTCTGCCATGTTTTGGTTTGGCCACCCCTAGTATTTTCCCAGTCCACTCCTACACCACAAAACATAGCTCGTCGCGGCAGTCAGTGGTTAGGCATACGTAACACATGTCCCAACCACCTCAACTGATGAAGTTTCACCACTTCATCTATTGATTTGCCATCCTTACCTAGTACTCCTTTCCTAACGATAGCATTGCTTACTCGGTCGTCCCAGGATACACGAGCAATACTTCGGATACACCTATGATCGAAAACCAGTAACCCACGAACATCTACTCTTAACGGCCATGTTTCTCATCCGTATAGTAGGACAGAGCGAACTGCTGCGCAGTACACTCGTCCTTTGGTTAGCAAACGGATATTTCGCCTACGCCATATGTGACGCAGGTTGGCAAAAGCCAATCGGGCCCTCTGTATCCGAACTGAGATTTCGTCAGTCACCAGGCCATTAGCACTGATGAGACTCCCCAGGTAGGTGAAGTGGTCCACACGCGTCTTCACCGAATAGAACTATGTCATCGGCATATTCTAAGTCAGCAAGCGTGGCTCCTGGTAGAAAATCGACTCCTGAAAAGTCAGACGGGTATAAGGTTATATCTAGCAGCATATCTTTGGCAAAATTAAACAAGAACGTAGAAAGTGACAGACACCACTTGAAGTAAAGAATTTCGATGAAAGTTCGCTATAAGCTCTCACCTGACCCGTAGTTTTTCGGTAGAGAGCTTGTATAAGGTTAATGTACTTCACTGGTACACCTTTCAATGACAGACACTGCCAAAGAACCTCACGATCCACTGAGTCAAATGCCGCCTTAAGGTCCAGGTAGACAACTATTGTAGGACGCCTAAATGTGTGTCTGTGTTCCAGGACCTGTCGTAGTGTGAAGATGTGGTCTATACAACCACGTCCAGGCCTGAAACCAGACTGGTTTTCTCGAGTGTGCCCTTCACGAACTCCACTTAGGCGTCTAAGTATAATGGAGGCTAACAGTTTAGAAACTATATTAGTTAGACTTATTCTCCTGTGATTGTCACAAGAAGACTTTTATAGATTAGGACAATCAGGGATTGAGACGAGTGAGTAACCCGCTTAGTAAATATTCTGTAATTTCCTATACTGTTAATCTCTATAGGTGTCTGTTGTACATTTAACAAGGTTATAACTTCGTATACTCTAGCAGTGTGTTCAGCTTTTTCATTAAAGAAAGTACTACCACAATACTTACATCTATACATTGTTTAGAATAAATCTCGTCAAAACACTCATTTCTACCATGATTCTCTTTTTATTTTTTCGTGTTTGTGTGTGTGTGTGTGTGTATTTTTAAAATGGTGTATTACTTAGATAGAAATAGTTAAACTATTTTCTAACAAAAGAAAGAAAAAATGTGAGAAATTGACTTTTAAATGAATGATTGTTTTAACACATGATAATTTATTTTTTTATTCGTCACAACAATCGATATAAGTTGATGCTGAATTTTTTAGATTTGGTTGAATCCCAATTGATTTGGTTAATGAAACATTATTGATTGAAGCTGGATAGATGGATGAGTGTATACTGTGCCAGGAGTTCACTCTGTTCAACCAAAAGTGTGACTGACGAAATATCAGCTCGGATACAAAAAGCTCGATTGGCTTTTGCCAACCTGCGTCACTTATGGCGTAGGCGTGATATCCGTTCGCTAACCAAAGGGCGGGTGTACTGCGCAGCAGTTCGTTCCGTTCTCTTATATGGCTGTGAAACATGACCGTTAAGAGTAGAAGATGTTCGTAGGTTACTAGTATTCGATCATAGATGTTTAAGAAGCATTGCTCGTATATCGTGGGACAGCCGAGTAAGCAATGCTGTCGTTAGGAAAGGAGTACTAGGTAAGGATGGCAGATCAATCGATGAAGTGGTGAAACTTCATCAGTTGAGGTGGTTGGGACATGTGTTACGTATGCCTAACCACCGACTGCCTCGACGAGCTATGTTTTGTGGTGTAGGAGTAGGTTGGAAGAAAGCTAGGGGCGGCCAGACCAAAACATGGCAGAAATCCATGAAGTCACTGACAAGTGGACTGAGTCATGTTGGTAGATGTAGACTACCTGGTAGGGGTCCGTGAGACGAAAGTCACCAATGGTTAAATACCTTGAACGACATGGCTCAAAATCGTTTGCAATGGCGCAGGTGTATCCACTCTTTGAGCTCTCTCAAATCCTAATCTTCTGGATTCGTCAATACTTCTGCCTTTGTCTTTCTAACCTTATCTCACTGAATTATATTTCTTGAATAATATCTTCGAACCCTAGTCTTCTTTATTAAAATTAATACCTCTACCATCTTTATCACCATGGGATTTGATTTGACATATGCGTCTCTGTGCTAATAATGTGGTATGGCAACATGAACTTATGTACATACGTACGAAGTTCTACGTTGCAACTGACTGACTGACTGACTGACAAGTGGATTGAGCCATATCGGTAGTTGTCGACTACCTGGTTGGGGTCCGCGAGATGATAATAATCGTTGGTTAGATACCCTGAATGACATGGCTCAAAATTGTTTGCAGTGGCGTCGGTGCATTTATTCTATGTGTTCTCTCAAATCCTAATCTTCTGGATTCTTCAACAAATCTAGTTTTGACTTTCTAAACTTTTCTCACTGAATTATACTTCTTGAATAATATCTTTTAATCCTAACCTCTCCGATTACTTCTAATACCCTTACTAACTCTTCTACTATTGGATCTGAATTGACAATTACATCTCTGTGCTGATGTGGTATGGCAACATGAACTGATGTACTTACGTACGAAGTTCTACGTTCCATCTGACTGACGGACTGACAAGTTTGAAACATGGTTAGTAAGAGTTGAGGATACTCGTAGGTAACTGGTTTGCGATCATAGGTGTTGCAGAAGCATTGCCTGTTTATTCTTGGACCATCGAGTAAGCAATGCTGTTATTAGGAAACGGGTACTAGGTAAGGATGGCAGATCAATAGATAAAGTATTGAAAGTTTATTAGTTAGGGTGGTTCGGACATGTGTTACGTACACCTAACCATCGACTGCCTCGTTGAAGGGTAAGATAGAAGAAAGCTGTGGGTGGTCAAACCAAAATATGGCACAAATATATGAAGTCTCTGACAATTGGACTACCTGATTTGGGTCCGACAGACAATTGTAACCGATGGTTAGAGACCTTGAATGACATGGCTCAGAATCGTTCGGCTTGGCGCGGGTGCACCCACTGTTTGTGTTCTCTCTAATTCTAACCTTCTGAATTCCTCATAATCTCCACCTTTCTGCTTCTAAATTTACCTGACTAAATTATACTTCTCGAATCATATCTTCGCTCCATAATTTTCTCGATTACTGCTAATAATTCTACTATCTCTATTACTGTGGGATTCGGACTGACAACTTCTCTGTGCTAATGTGGTATGGCAACCTGAACTGATGTACTTACGTACGAAGTTCTGCGTTGTATCTGTCTGTTTGTGTCTCCCTAATTCTATTCTCAACTCCTCATTACCTGTATTTTTCTTTTCTGAAATCTATTTCACTGAATTATACTTCTTGAATAATTTCTTCGGAACGTGATCTTTCCAATTATTGTTCATACTTATATTACCTCTTCCAGTACAGGATTTGAATTGAGAATTCGATCTTTGTACGTACAAAGTTCTACGTTGTATCTGACTGACTGACTGAAGTTCGAATGGCACTACTGGATTTCAACTCATTGATTCTAACAGTGAAGCGTCTACCATAAAGCCAATAGTGCCTTCACGGGTTCATCGGTGTGCACTGTTAGGAAGTCGCATATTAAAATTAAACAGCCATTCTGTTGCAACTACAATTTGTGGGTTATTATTATTATGATGTTGGATTGATAATTTCAGATGTGTAAAAACAATAATCTCGAAGATTGTAATTGCAAAATCGTAAAATATGTTTACTAGTGACTAGCATCGTGACGGAATTCTCGTAGTTCTAGTGAGTTGGAGTTCAGTGGAGTTCAACCCTGTCGAGTGTAGCCAGTAACTACCAAAGACAAATGGGTGAGGTCGCCCTAAATCCCTTGATCAATCAGTGGTCCAGAGGTCAGGCGTTCGCACGCAAGACCGAAAGTCCCGAGCCCGAATCCTGCGAGGTTTGCATTATGACTGATGAGTCCCATACCAAGACGAAACGGCCTTTCTTGTGCTTTCAGGTTTCTAATGGTGTTAGTCTAACAATAATTGATTGGTCATTTCAAATGTGTAACAACACAAAATCTACATAATTCTAATTGAAATTATTATTATTAATATTATTATTATTATTTCGTGTTAAATTGAGATTTCAATTCATTTTAAATTATTTACTTTCAACGCCTGTTATTATTAATATTATTATTATTATTATCGCTATATAGGCTTATCAATTAATGAATGAACGATTCGCTAAACGTTTAGACTTGTTAGCATTGAATTTTTGGCCTGTAAGTTGTGTGATCCTTTTAAAAGTAGCATATATATGTACATATATATATTTCATTTGTTATCGTATTTTATTAAAGATTCCCATTGTGAAAATTAGAACAACACATATATACATGAATTTTTTCATATGAAAATGTTCTAACCAATCAAGGCAATTTACGAGTCAATAATCATCACAATGAAATGAAATAGAGATTACGTCACTACACACACATAATCAGTCAGTCAGTTGCAACGTAGAACTTCGTACGTATGTACATAAGTTCATGTTGCCATACCACATTAGCACAGAGACGCAAATATCAAATCAAATCCCAAGTGATAGAGATACTAGAGGTATTAATGGTAATGAAGAAGACTAGGGTTTGAAGATATTATTCAAGAAGTATAATTCAGTGAGATAAGGTTAGAAAGACAAAGGTAGAGGTGTTGACGAATCCAGATGATTAGGATTTGAGAGAGCTCAAAGAATGGATGCACTTGCGCCATTGCAAACGATTTTGAGCCATGTCGTTCAAGGTATTTAACCATTGTTGACTTTCGTCTCACGGACCCCTACCAGGTAGTCTACATCTACCAACATGACTCAGTCCACTTGTCAGTGACTTCATGGATTTCTGCCATGTTTTGGTCTGACCGCCCCTAGCTTTCTTCTAACCTAATCACACACCACAAAACATATCTCGTTGAGGCAGTCGGTTGTTTAGGCATTCGCAACACATGTCCCAACCACCTCAACTGATGAAGTTTCACCACTTCATCTATTGATCTGCCACATAATAGGCAAAAGTACAAATGGATAATAGTTGGAAGACAGGTTGTACACTGACTCCTAAATTGCTTATTGATTGGTTAGAACATTTTTGGTATGAAAATATCCATGTATATATTAGAGAGAGTAAAGCAGCCTGATGACAATCGAATCGAAAACAACGATACTATTCGCTTATATGTATTGTTCTATCGTATTATACTTTACACATTTTTGAAACCATGAATCGATCAATGTTAGACTACCACCATTAGAAACCTGGAAGCACTCAAAGGCCATTTCGTCCTGGTATGGGACTCATCAGCAGTGCGCACTCACGACTCCTGCACCTCACAGGATTCGAACCCAGGACCCTCGGTATTGTAGGCGAACGCCTAACAATCGGACCACTGAGCCGGTATCCAACTGTGTTAATGTCTAACTTGACCAATTCACGGAGTTGCGCAACCTCATACACAGTCTTCGGTAGTTACTGTCTACAGCCGAACAGGTTGAACTTCACTGGTCACATCTCACTAGAACTCGGAGAAAATTCCTCACGAAGCTAGTTGTCACTAGTGAGCACAGGTAATTTGCATTATGGGGTTGTGAAGATTGTTAAGTTACACATTTTTGAAACCATTAATCAATCAATGTTAGACTACCACCATTAGAAACCTGGAAGCACTGAAACACGGCCGTTTCGTCCTGGTATGGGACTCCTCAGTAGTGCACATCCATGACTTTAGTTAATAATAATAATAATAAACTTATCACCTCTTACTACTACTACTACATCTCTTTCTCTTTTTTTTCTTCTAAAAAATTTTTATTATTGTCTACGTCTTTTTTATCATTATTTCAGTATCGACCTAAAACTGGACGTTATCCTTATCGATCATTTGTGCATTGTTTAAGATTATGTTGTTTATTGTTAATACGTGATATATTTTATAATCCTAAACAAGGTAAGTAAGTTATTCAATGAATGTACACATATAAATGTACGTTTATTGATGATAAGTTGTTAGTCAATTATAATTGTTGTTGATTTAGTTACAGATGATCATATGAAGTTGAGAAAGCTATAGGAAATCTAAAGTGTGGAAGGGCAGTGTGTCCTGATAGACTAACCCCTGAGATATTTAAGGATGGTGGTCCAGTTTTAGCAGCTAGATTGACTGAGATCTTAGGTAGAATCTGGGAACTGGACGTAATCCCATCTGACTGGTCTCAATCACTGATTGTCCCAATCTATAAGAAAGGACAGAAGTCTTCTTGTGACAATCACAGGGGAATAAGTCTAACTAATATAGAATCTAAAATATTGGCCTCAATAATACTTCGACGCTTAATGAAAGCTCGTGAAGAGCAGACTCGAGAAAACCAGGCTGGTTTTCGACCAGGATGTGGCTGTATAGACCACGTCTTCACACTACGTCAGGTCCTGGAACATAGACACACATTTAGGCGTCCTACAATAGTTGTTTTCCTAGACCTTAAGGCGGCATTTGACTCTGTTGATCGTAAGGTTCTGTGGCAGTGTCTATCATTGAAAGGTGTACCAAAGAAGTATATTAACCTTATACAAGCACTCTACTCGAACACCACTGGTCGAGTGAGAGCTTATGGCGAACTGTCATCTGAATTCTCTACATCAAGTGGTGTCCGTCAGGGATATCCACTCTCTCCATTCTTGCTTATTTTTGTCATAGACATGCTGTTGGTATAACCTTATCCTCGTCTGAATTTTCAGGAGTAGACCTTCTGCCAGGTGGCTCGCTTATTGACTTAGAATATGCCGATGACATAGTCCTACTTGGTGAAGACGCTGACAAAATGCAGAGTCTTCTGAGCACACTAAGAAACAATGCAAGCATGTTCGGGATGCGGTTCTCACCCTCGAAATGCAAAATGTTGTTTCAAGACTGGGTTTCATCGGCACCTGAACTAGTGATAGGGAGTGAAGTAGTCGAACGTGTAGACCGCTTCACTTATCTTGGGAGTCTCATCTGTGACGCTGGCCTGGTGACTGACGAAATCTCAGCTCGGATACAGAAAGCTCGATTGGCTTTTGCCAACCTGTGTCACTTATGGCGTAGACGAGTTATCCGTTTGCTGACTGAAGGACGAGTGTACTGTGCAGTAGTTCGCTCCGTCTTACTTTATAGCTGTGAAACATCGCCAGTGAGAGTAGATGTTCGTAGGTTACTAGTATCTGATCATATATGTCTTAGAAGCATTGCTCGTGTATTCTAGGACAACGGAGTAAGCAACGCTGTCGTTAGGAAACGAGTAGTAGATAAGGGTGGTAGGTCAATAGATGAAGTATTGAAACTTCATCAGTTGAAGTGGTTGAGACATGTGTTATAAATGTCCAAACACTGACTGCCTCGATGAGCTATGTTTTGTGGTATAGGAGTTGGTTGGAAGGCAGCTAGGGGCGGCCAGATCAAATCATGGCGAAAATCCATGAAGTCAATGACATATGGTCTGAGCCATGTTAGCAAGTATAGACTATCTGGTTGGAGTCAGTGAGACAATAGTTACCAATGGTTAGAGACTGAATGATATGACCGAAAATCGTTTGCAATGGGATTCAGCTTCACAATTCGATCTCTGTGTGTGTGTGTTAATGTATTATGACAATCTTAATTAATGTTTGTCCGTACGAAGTTCTACGTTGTAGCTAGACTGATTGACTAACACTGAACAACCCTAGTTTTAGCTTGGTTTGTCTGTTGAATAGTCAGATCATGCGTGTGTGTGTGTGTGTGTACCACTGAACGGATCACATATCATTGTTAATCATGTTTTTTTTCCTTTTTGCAGAAATCAGTGATCGATTATCATCTACTGTACATAATTTTATGCTTGAAGTTTATGCAATCTGTTTAACTGATGTCGCTTATTTATCTGCTGAAGCAGCTGGTTTCCATTCCATTACATCATCTGACATTGATAGTAGGCCAACATTTTCATCTGAGGTAACTGCTCCATCATCATCAATGATGATGAATAATACTCGACCACGTTTTTCTAATCCTGACGATGATGATGATGATGGTGAAGGTGATGGTGATGCTGATAACTGTGACAACATTGACGGCGGCGCTGATGATAATGTCGACAAGTTGGATTCCATAGACGAGAAGAAGAGAAAGCAGAAAGTGTTCGACTCAAGGAATCATGTAAAATCATCATTTCCTGAAAATGGTCCACATAAAGAAATGTTATCCAATAAACAGCTATTGTATAATGGTTATTCTAACGACCATAAACAATCCGTTGATGAAAAGGAAGACAATGTAGTAAGTTATTGATTTTTTTTGAGCTGATAGTGGATTAAATATGTAGCTCAGGAGGTGTATGTATGATTGTGGGGTGGTGTTTCGTTCTGTGAGCTCTTCTTTTTGTTGAGTTTCTTCATGTATTCTGACCGTTTTGAGTGATGACTTTAGTGTAGCGTGGAATTTTCGAAGTTTCGAAGCGTTCTTCATGTCGTAGTTGGATCCTTTTTCGTGGAGTGTTCACCAAATATCCTAAGAGTACTATTTTTGGAAGTATAATCCTATTGGTCGATTTCTATTGGTCAAAATAAATGGTCGTTTTAACTTTCAAGGTCGAATACTTCAATCTCGTCTCTGATTGGTGGTCATCCGGACTGTCAATGTCATTTCAAATGTTCTTTCCTATTGGTTGTCGTCTTAAATTGTCAATGTCACTGACTTTGATGCTGTTTCCTATTCAACCTAAATGTATAAATACGCACTATCTGTAAGCCTTCATGATTCCGATTCTGTTTCTCCTGCCTACCTCTCTTTTGTACTCGACCCAATAAACAACTCCATCTCACGGTGTGGCGTTCTGATATATATTGGAGATTTGGAAATAGCATTTTGGGTCGTATTGGGATATTTGAATTGGACGCCGCTAGAACTGAATAGCGATACGTAGCAGCAGCATTACAACAGTTCTTCTGTGGGTGGCTTTGAAATCTTGATTGGTGTGTGTCTTTGAGGATGTTTTTTTTCTTTGTTCACTGTGTTGGCCGCTTGATCTTGATCTTGATCGCCGTTGTCAATGTTGTTAAATGTTCTGATGTGAGTATTTTTTTCTGTAGGTTTCTTGTTTGTTCATCCTAGTTGTACTGGTATTTTTGGATCTTGTGGTGTGCATCGGTGATCATTAGTTGTACCATATATCTTTCACAACCGAAAACATCCAGTTCAGAGAACGAAACACCACCACAATTCTTGTTTTTTTGTTTGTGATTTATATTAGTTGGGCTATAGTATATTCATCTGAAATCATCAGTCAATCATTGTTAGACCACCATTAGAAACCTGGAAGCACTGACAGACGGCCGTTTCGTCCTGCCCGAAAATATCGTAACAGTGCTCACTAGTAACTAGCTTCTTCGTGACGAAATTCTCGGAGTTCTAGTTGAGAGTGGAGTGACCAATGGAGTTCGACCCTGTCGGGTGTAGGCAGTAACTACTACCAAAAAGACAAATGGTTGAGGTCGCGCAAAATCCGTAGATCAATCAGAGTTAGACATTAACACCGTTAGATGCCGACCCAGTGGTCCAATGGTTAGGCGTTCGCGCACAATACCGAAGGTCCCGGGTTCGAGTCTTGTGAGGTGCAGGAGTCGTGGATGCACACTGGCGCTGATGATTAGTCCCATACCAGGACGAAACGGCCGTCCAGTGCTTCGAGGTTTCTAATGAGGGTGATCTAACAATGATTGATTGATGATTTCAAATGTTTTTAATAACACAAACCTCCAAAATTTTGCCCGAAAATTTTGATTTATTCATTGTTTATATAATGTAATTTGAAAAATAGTTTACTATTCTACATTATGTGCATTATATCTGACAACAGTTGTATTCCTGGTCCTTAAAGCGGCATTTGACTCTGTCGATCGTGAGTTTCTGTCACAGTGTCTGTCATTGAAATGTGTGTATCAAAGAAATACATTAACCTTATACAGGCTCTCAACTCGAACACTACAGGTCGAGTGAGAGCTTATGACGAACTGTCATGGAAATTGATTACGTTGAGTAGTTGTACACCTTCTCCATTCTTGCTTCATTTTGTCATTAACATGCTTTTAGAGACAACATTTTCATCGACTGACTTTTCAGGAGTTGACCTTCTTTCAGGCGACTCGCTTGTTAACTTAGAATATACCAATGACTTATTTCTACATGGGAAGACGCTGACAAAATGCAGAGTCTTCTGACTACCCTAAGCAACAATACAAGCATTTTCGGGATGCGGTTCTCCTCGTCGAAATGCAAAATGTTGCTTCAGGATTGGGTTTTAGCGGTACCTGAACTATTGATAGGCGGTGAAGTAGTTGAGCGTGTCGACCGCTTCATTTATCTAGGGAGTCTCATCAATTCTGGTGGCACGAATACAGAATGCTTGATTGGTTTTTGCCAAATTGTATTTGAAACATTAATCAAGTGCTTGTTCGCCTTGGATGTACATTGAATAATCTAAAGATCTACTGTATAATATCACCACAAATGAAGAACACGTAATTCACCTGGCTAGCCCGTATATTAATCAACAAATTTAATATCTGTCTATCTATCTATCTATCTATCAATCAGCCTTTAGTATAGGGAATTTATGCAAATTGTCTTATTATATGACAGTTGAAATTATGAACCTATCAATGTTAGATTACGATTGATAACTTGGAAGTTGTGGAGAGATATTTAATCCTGCCTTGTATAGGCATTCCTCAGCAGTGCGTATCGACGACTCTGCCAGCGGAAATTGAACAAAGGACGTTTGGCTTCACACACGAACGCTTAAGTTGAAGACCACTGAGATGGTATCCAGTGTTACTTACTTACTTACTTTCGCCTGTTACCCCCAATGGAGCATAGGCCTCCAACCAGTTTTCTCCAACCAACTCTGTCCTGGGCTTCCCTTTCCAATTCCGTCCAATTTTTGTTCATTCTTCTCATATCTTTCTCTATTTCTCGGCGTAATGTGTTCCTTTGGCCTTCCTCTTTTCCTTTTGCATTGAGGGTTCTATGTGAGGGCTTGTCTTGTGACGCAGTTGAGTGATTTCCTCAATCTGTGTCCTATCCACTTCCAGCGCTTCTTTCTGATTTCCTCCTCCGTTGGAAGAATCTGGTTTGTTCTCTCCCATAGTACGTTGTTGCTGATACTGTCTGGCCAACGAATCCGAAGTATTTTGCGTAGACAACTGTTAATAAACACTTGTATCCTCTGGATGATGGCTTTGGTAGTCCTACAAGTTTTCGCTCCATACAGTAGAACTGTCTTGACATTTGTATTGAAAATGCTGATTTTGGTTGAAAATTGTTTGGAGTTCCAGATATTTTTCAACTGTAGAAATGCAGCCCTCGCTTTGCCAATCCGCGCCCTAACATCTGCATTGGATCCACCTTTCTCGTCGATAATGCTGCCCAGATATGTAAACGTGTTAACGTCCTCCAAGACATCTCCATCAAGATTGATTTGGTTGGCTCATGTTGTATTGTATCGTAGAATTTATCTTTTTCCTTTATGTATGTTGAGACCTACTGCTGCAGGGACTGCTACTGCTACACTGGTCGTCTTCACTTGCATTTGTTGTTGTGTGTGCGATAGAAGAGCTAGGTCATCTACGAAGCTCAGATCGTCCATCTGGGTCCTAGCTGTCCACTGAATACCATGCTTCCCTCCAGATACTGACGTCTTCATAATCCAGTAGTTGATCACCATGAGAAAGAGAAAGGGTGAGAGTAAGCAATCTTGCCTGACAACGGTCTTCACCTTCATTGGTGTGTTAGTGTCTAATTTCAACCTGTCTATCAATCTGTCTGGAATATAACCAATTTATTATGTACTTTCAACTGTGCATTACATGTTTTCATTTTCTTCTGTGTTGTACTGTTTTTTTTTGTGTGTGTGTGTGACAGATTATCATGAAATCAAAATCTACTCGATCTGTAACATCAACCAATATTCCTCCATCTACAGAATCAAAAGTTATTTATGAAAAATCACGTATGATGATTAATACAAATATTGTCAATGGCAATCGTGATCATGTACCATCTCAACCTTCATCAGTATCAGCTCCATCTGTGAAAGCAAAGAAAAGTGTATCATCACGAAGTACCAATTTGAATAGTACTAATTTAACAACACCAACAGCGACAACAGTGACAACTACATCATCGGACAGTCGAACAGACAGTACAACAAATGCATTGTTTGCATTCGATTTAGTCACTGCATCAACATCTGTTTGTATACAAATTTTGACTAAATCAATTAAAGATATGGCAGGTTTGTGGTGATTATTGTATTCTCTAGTTTATATTGTCAACTAATCTTAGTTAGGTGTAACGATTGAACGAACGCTAGGAGTGTGCACTGGATAGTGGTAGTCGTAGTAGCAGTACTCATTTACGGTTAGCTGTGGATTGAACTCAATGCGTTTCTCACCACTGAGTTGACATCCAATGGTTTACATCTCTGTACACTGTCGGTTCTTGATGCTGACCCAATAATTTAAAGGTCTATAGTTTAGTCTTTGAATTTGCCTAAAGGACATCCATTAATCAGAATTTGAAGTATTATCTGTATGCACACAGACCAACAATATCACAAGTGTTGACCAATTAAGCATTTCGACTGACAATGAATGATTGTCAGCAGATACGTGAGGTAATCGAACACATGTTTTTCAGTATTTAGCCTTTCTGTCCTCTGAATGGATTCATTGGGAGAACACTGTAACTCCCAAATTTATTGTCGTTATCTCTTAAAAAACGTAAATAACCGAACTGTGCAACATAGTGAAATTAAGAGTCATACTGTAGGCATTAGCAAGTCATAAGTGACGAAACATCAACCGAAGGGTGAATAGTTCAGTGATAAGTCAGTCAGTCAGTCAGATGCAACGTAGAACTTCGTACGTAAGTACATCAGTTCATGTTGCCATACCACATTAGCACACAGAGATGTAATTGTCAATTCAAATCCAATAGTAGTAGAGGTAGTAAAGGTATTAGGAGTAATCGGAGAAGTTAGGATTAGAAGATATTATTCAAGAAGTATGATTCAATGAGAAAAGTTTAGAAAGTCAAAACTAGAGCGGCTGAAGAATCGAGAAGATTAGAATTGGAGAGAACACAGAGAATAAGTGCACCGGCGCCATTGCGAACGATTTTGAGCCATATCATTCAAGGTCTCTAACCATCGATTATTATCATCTCGCGGTCAGTGATAAGAAGATGTATAGTAAGTCAGTCGTCTAACAAAAGCTTACATTAAGTGAAATAGAGAACTGTACTAATATTAGTCCGTGAAGTAATCTTAAAAGTTTCTCCTTACTCGATATTTCCTCCAGCATAAGAGTTAAAACTTAACCTAAACCCGCTGAGAGTTCACAGTTCTATCCTAGTCGAGGTTTGTAAATGTTCACTATTGAAGGGTTCTTTACTAAAATGAAACGGTTGTCCAGTGCTCTAATTAAAGTGATTATATGCGGTAACTTATAATGCAACTTATTATAGATTGAGCTAACATTTAAGCGTTCACAATATTCTAACGTTTTCGTTGTGTTAGTTGGCTAGAAATACTACTTATCCTGTATAGGATGATTGGAATTGTTGAGTTTCATTGAAACCATGAACCGAACGATGCTAGACTACTTTTAGGAAACCTGGAAACAGTAGACGGCGGTTTCGTCCCAGTATAGGAATGATCAGCAATGAGCGTTTTCGGCTCCTTGAACAGGAATCGAACCCAGGACTTTTGGACACGTGTGCGAAATTTTAATCTGTAGGACACTGAGTCGGTATTCAGCAGTGCTAATATCACAATTCAACTGGTCCACGATATTGAGTGACTGCTTTTTAGTGTTTGTGATGACTGGCTGCCTCACATCCAACACAGTTGAAATACTACTGTTGTTTGTTCTGACAAATGTAGATAAAATGCTTGCTGGAACTTAACCATTCAGTAAGTCAGTCAGTCAGTAACAACGTAGAACTTCATATGTACGTACATCAGTCCAAGTTGTCATTACCACATTAGCACAGAGATACAATTGTCAATTCGAATAGCATAGTAACCACTTCAACTGGTGAAGTTTCACTACTTCATCTATATTGTCATCCTTACCTAGTACTCGTTTCCTAACGACAGCGTTGCTTATTCGGTTGTCCCATGATACACGCTCGATGCTTCAAAGACACTGATGATCAATCACTAGTAACCTAAGAATGTTTTCAACTCTTACTGGCCATGTTTCACATTCGTAAAGTAGGACAGAGCGAACGGCAGTGCCAATGAACTCGTCCTCTGATTATCAGATGGATATCTCACCTACTCCATAAGTGCCACAAGTTGGCGTAAACTATGCTGAGATTTCGTCAGTCACCATGCCATCAGCACTGATGAGACTCCTATCCTTCTTACTCCCATAGAAAATGAATCCACCTATTGACCAATGAAATACATTCGTCCTTGAAGATATTTTCTCACTTCTGATTGGTTCACTATATCATCATCATTGTGTTATTGTTGTCATTGTTTCTCTCTATTTCTCTCTCTCACTTTCTGTCTTACTTTTACAGATTCTGAAAGTTTTCTAATTCGTTTATTAGATCGTATTACAAAAGGTATTGATTTAAAATTCATTATCCAATCTGATCGTGTACTGGACTCAACATTTGTTCCAACACAAAAATATCCCAATTCTTCTTCTACTACTACCGCCGGTACAACTACTACTAATCTCCCTTGGGCTGTACAAAATTTACGTGGACATTTTACTATGCCACAACGTCGTTCGTCGACAGCTTATAATTTTTCTTCTAATATTAAACCAATCATGAATTATGATTTAGCCATGTTGTCAACATCGAATCCTGCTACTTCTGCTACTGGTGCTACTGCCACTGCTTCGAATATGATGACTAGTCTGCTGTTGAATAAATCAAAGCATAAACCACGTTTTGCACATTTAGTATGTAGTGTCGGTCTATTGGTTGTTGTATTAGATAGTGTTGGTCAATTGACGCTGCGTTTTCCTCATTTAGGCAAAGCTAGTTTAGATGCTTTAATTGATTTCCTGTTAGATCCTAGTCCAGTGTTAAGTCGATTGAATCGACAAATTGATCGATTGCGTCATTCCAAATCTGGTATTTTAATGATGATTGAAACAATGAAAGTGAGTTAGTTCTATTTGGTTTGCTTTTATTGGTGACTGACTATTTTTTCTAGTTTTCTGTACATTAAAGAAGGAAGCATAAGTGATTGTAGAGTTTAAGTGTTTACGAATGAATGCATGTCAGCTTGATATGCTGGAACTATTATGAGTTTATTTAAGTCGGTAAACGAAAGTGAGGATTGAGGATCCGGCGACACGACAGGCTACGTTAATCGGAGTGTCTCAAACCCCTATTGAGTAAAAGAAGAAGACTCGATATGAAGTAGAACATGTATTCTACAAGTGTCCAGAAAGTACAGGGTCCAAAACCAGAAGAGGATAAAGATCCGGGTCCTTAAATGTTACAGATCATGCATATTTATACATTTAGGTCGAATAGGAAGCAACACTTGAATTATGTGTCATTGATATTTAGGACTTAGAATATGCCGATGACATAGTCCTACTTAGTGAACACGCTGACAAAATGCAGGGTCTTCTGACCACCCTAAGCAACAATGCAAGCATGTTCAGGATGCGGTTCTCACCCTCGAAATGCAAAATGTTGTTTCAAGATTGGGTTTCATCGGCACTTGAACTAGTGATAGGGAGTGAAGTAGTCGAGCATGTAGACCGCTTCACTTATATTGGGAGTCTCATCAGTGCCGATGGCTTTGTGACTAACGAAATCTCAGCTCGGATACAGAAGGCTCGATTGGTTTTCGCCAACCTGCATCACTTATGGCGTAGACGAGATATCCGTTTGCTGACTAAATGACTGGTGTACTGCGCAATAGTTCGCTCTGTTCTACCATATTGATGTGAAAAATGGCCAGTGAGAGTAGAAGATATTCGTAGGTTACTGGTTTTCGATCATAGATGTTTAAGAAGCATTGCTCGTATATCATGGGACACCCGAGTGAGCAATGCTGTTATTAGGAATCGGGTGCTAGGTAAGAATGGAAGATCAATAGAGGAAGTGCTGAAACCCACCAGTTGAGGTGGTTGGGACATGTGTTACGTATGCCTAACCACCGACTGCCTCATCGAGCTTTGTTTTGTAGTGTAGGAATAGGTTGGAAGAAAGTTAGGGGCGGCCAGACCAAAACATGGCAGAAATCCATGAAATCAATGACGAGTGGACTTAGCCATGTCGGTAGTTGTCGACTACCTGGTTGGGGTCCGCGAGATGATAATAATCGATGGTTAGAGACCTTGAATGACAATGCTCAGCATCGTTCGCGATGGCGCCAGTGCATTTATGGTTTGTGTTCTCTCAAATCCTAATCTTCTGGATTCTTCAACTTTGTAAACTTTTCCCACTGAATCATACTTCTTGAATAATATCTTCTAATCCTAACCTCTCCGATTACTTCTAATACCTTTTCTACATATTATACTACTGATTTGATTTGACAATTACATCTCTGTGCTGATGTGGTATGGCAACATGAACTGATGTACTTACGTAGGAAGTTCTACGTTGCATCTGTCTGACTGATAGTTTGGCCGACCAATAGGAATTGACCAATCGGAATCGACCAATAGAACTAGACTTACAAATCATTCTCATAGGATATTGAATGAATATCCTAACATTAAGAAACAATTATTTACTTCTAACTATGAAAATTTGTGGTGTTTTAAGATATCGTTGTACTTTTTTACTATTGGGGATGTTAGATCCTCAAAATTCGCTTGATAAAAATGCCTTATTTTGGATTTCACGTTTGCGAGCATGGGCTGATCAGTTGACCTTAAGATTTCTTTTCCCACCAGGAAAATCCATGGCTGTGATTGTTTGCTGTGTATTTTGGTGTGATATCTTAACTGTCTCACGGACGTTTCTATGTAGTATAAATAAACTAGAAATCATTGACTGTAGAATGGAATCATGGTAATCGGTGCAAACTTCTTGATTGGCGTCCACGTGATAATCTCAAAATATTGAATAAAACGGATCAGGATCGGTTACATCTGCTGATATATGTTGAGTTTTTAATGATATTCTTTCACAGATAGATATACCTTCTGATACTACTCATATTTTGTTTAACACCTTCAATCTGATTTAATTTCATTTCACTCTGCTGACATTTATCTGTCACAAGATGTCAAGTTTTGTGCATTAATCTAAAATAGTATTGTAAAATTGTTGATTTACTGTTTTCTTGTGTTTCGGCTCTGCTAACCACAAAATTAAGAAGATGAACAACAAACGTCTAGCATTTTGACCGGGTTAGTGTATACGGAAGATCCACCTAGGAGGGTTGTAAAACCCTGATTCCAGAGGAACACTGTGTACATCGGTTATGAGGTCCCCAGGGACGGAATAGTCCGTAGACCCAGTATTTGTAACGGTCTGCATCATCCAACGTTGCTCCGTTGCATTGTGAATTAGACCTCTCGGTCAAAGGCTCGAGGACTGACTGATTTAAGAAAACTTCTTAGTTCGATTTGAATACTCTAACAGCATTTCATCCCACACAAATTCAATAATTCGTATGACACATATTTTTTATAGTTTGGTGCCCTTTTCTGTTATGTTCGTCGATTGATATGCTTGAATGCTATTATAAGTTCACCTTACTCGTTAAACAAACTGTAAGACAAGTGATCCAGTGATATGATTGGCTACTCTAATCCTCGCGTCCCAGTGACCCACTAGGTAGAGGAAGGAGTTTCGATAAAACGTAAAAAATGTATTCTACAAGCACCCAGAAAATCAAGGTTGACAAGCACACAAGTCAAGTTTATTTATGCCTGATAGCAAAGTCTTGAGGAGAGCCACAAAAATAGTGTACTTAACACACCAACCAGTGACAGTTAAGGATTTTCCGGGTGGGAAATATAACCTCAAGGTCAACTGATCAGCCCATGCGCGAAAACACATAAAATCCAAAATTAGGACCTTTATATCAAGCGAGTTCTGGGAGATCTAACATCCCCAACACTTTCAAACTATTATTTATACGTTTTACATGATGAATGGTCGGTCAATAATTATATTTTTTCTCTTTATGTACAAATATTTCTTCTTTTGATTTTACTTTCATAGAAAGCTAATTCAAACTGTTCAATTGTCCATTATGAAACACATTTATTGGAATTGTCGAAAATTGAACGACATTTAACATATTACAATCGTATATTGGAACATGTTCGTGGTGCTGCAATTGAAAGTCTTTGTCGGTAAATTAATATGAATGAATATTTGTGAATATATATATATATATATATATATATATATATATATATATATATATATATATATATATATATTCAAATTTCATTTTCATAAATAGGGTTGTGGAGATTGTTGAGTCACTGTGATTGTCACAAGAAGACTTTTGTCCTTTCTTGTAGATTGAGACAATTAGCGACTGAGACCACTCGGATGGGGTTACGTCCAGTTCCCAGATTCTACCTAAGATCTCAGTCAACCTAGCTGCTAAAACTGGATCACCATCCTTAAATATCTCAAGGGTCAGTCTATCAGGACCTGCAGCTCGCTCTGCCTTCAGATTTCCTAACGCTTTTTCAACTTCATTAAGACTAGGGGGACTTAGGTCGATTTGCCATTCAGGATGACTGGAGATCGTGGGTAACCGAAAAGTGGCTCGAGGCCAGTTGATCTGATCCCTAAAGTGTTCTGCCCATCGATCCAGTCTCCTGGATTGAGAATAAATAATAGTCCCGTCATTTTCCGAGATAATCTCACTTACACTAGGATTCCTAATACCAGTTTCCTTGATAAGTCGGAAAAGTTGTCTACTGTTGCCTATCGCCGCTGCCTTTTCCATCTCTCTCGCTTTCTCCACCCACCACTGTTCTCGATCATTGCGTAGGCTTTTTGTCAGCTCACGTCTAAGCTGACTCCGCTCCTCATCGCCCTCAGAGCCAGGTGGGATGAGTTTTCGGACATCCATCAGATCGGTGGATGCTACTGAGATCCACGGCTTCTTTCTAGCCTTATGGTCAACCTTACTAGCAGATATCACTGCTGTTTCCACAGCTTTTTTGATATCATTCCAACCTGCCTCCGGATGGGACTCGCTTGCAAGGTTGCTTAACTCTCTTTCTAGTTACTCCTGAAATACTTTCTTAGTTTGATTATCATTAAGTAAAACCCTAAGAGGCTTAATGATAATCAAACTAAGAACATTGAACGCCTGCACGTAAACACATCAAATTGATATACTTGAACTATTATGAGTTTACCTAGTCGGAAACGCGAGAGCGAGGATCGATCGATCCGGTGACACGACATACTACTCAAATCCGCTTATCCCAACCCCCCATATTGAGTAAATATAAGAAGACCTGAATGTGAAGTAGAACCTGTATTCTACAAGCATTCAGAAAGTACGAGGTCCGAATGCAGAAGAGAATGAGGATCCCGGACTAGGGATCCGGGGTCATAAAACGTTACAGATAATGCGTATTTATACATTTAGGTTGAATAGGAAACAGCATCGAAGTCTGTGACATTGACAGTTAAGTCGACCAATAGGAAACAACATTGGAACACGTGACATTGATATCAATAGGACGACCATGACATTGACCAGTAGGAATGAACCTATAGGAATTGACCAGTAATAATTCTCTTAGGATATTGGATGAATATCCTAACAGATCTTCATTCTCACTATCTCGTTTGTGAACGCTTAACCCTTTTGACCATTGAGTTGGCATTCAACAGTTTTAACTTGTAACTGAATCATCATTCCACGATGATTTTCGAATAAAATTCAACAATCTCCACAACCCTATACTGACATTTAATTTTCTAATTTATAATGTTACTGCTGATCAAATTCGGGATGAAGCGTTTCGTCTTATTTCGCAATTCATCAACTGAATTTACTTACCAACTACCAGTGTCCACTTTGTCCTGTTGTCACATTTGAAGGCGCATTGATCTCTTTAGTTCTGTTCTATTCTATCGGTTCTGATCTATCAGTTCTGTCAGTGACACTCAATGTATGTACAAGCCAATAGGCAAGAAGGAATTTTTATGTAATATATATACTTTCCGGGTAGAGTTTTTTGGAGGTTTACACATTTTTTTTACACATTTGAAATCATCAATCAATCAAACTCTGCCCAAAAATATCGTAACAGTGCTCACTAGTAACTAGCTTCTTCGTGAGGAAATTCTCGGAGCTCTAGTTGAGAGTGGAGTGACCAATGGAGTTCAACGCTGTCGGGTGTAGGCAGTAACTACTACCTAAAAGACAAATGAGTGAAGTCGCGCAAAATCCTTTGATCAATCAGTGTTAGGCACTCACACCGTTGGATGCCGGCCCAGTGGTCCGATGGCTAGGCGTTCGTGCACAGTACCGAAGGTCCCGGGTTCGAATCGTGCGAGGTGCAGGAGTCGTGGATGCGCACTGACGCTGATGAGTCTCATACCAGGAAGAATCGGCCGTCTTTCAGTGCTTCCGGGTTTCTAATGTTTGATTGATTAATGCTTTCAAATGTGTAATATGTATAGGCCTAGTCTCTACGTTGCAACTGACTGACTGATACGCCTAGTCTTCAGTCATACTTTTGCAAGTTGTTTCGCCTCCTCGGGACTTAAGTTGACTCCAGACTGTCTTCTTTCACTTCTCACCTGGCTGTCCAACATATTCTCAACACACTATGGTTTTGATCGTTTAAAATTCTTCTCTGCTGACTTTAGCGATCCTCCCACGGGAGTTTTGCTGCATATTACCACTTATGCTCGACCTTGGCTGCTTCCTTGACGTGGTGGTCGGGCTTGCCTATCGTGATCACCCAACCGAGCTATACTGGCTGGAACATATGTTCCTACAGGTCCTACCATGCCAGGCTGGTCGATTGGAGAACGATGAGACTAAAAGCAGCTACCCAAGGTCTGAGGGCGAAGTCGTACTGCTGACTGGGATGGCGGGGTGTGACAGCAGTAAGGTGTTTCCCTGGGATAACCAGCATCTGAAGCGATGCTGCCTTCTCACGGTGAAGGAAGGAAGGGTTAGAAAAGGTCGACCCTAAAAATGTCACACCTCATCCTACCTCACGGATTTCCATCTCCTTGGGTAAGGGTGCCCACTAAGGACCTTTAAGAACGAAGCTAATCCTCAAAATACCTTTCATGAAAAGGCCGTGCGTGACCGGCCTCAAACAGTTGTCCCCTGGTCTCTGCGGTCACGCTCCCAGGTCTCTAAGACCAACACACACTACTTATGAGTAATATTGTGAGTAGGACCCACCACACTGATATGGCACTCCCCTTAGCACAGTGTACATCCAATGAACCTAGAATATTGGCTTCAGCCTATTAATTATATGATATTGTAATTCTTAATTTGAAATGTATTCTCTTTTTGTTACGTAATCTGATTTCATGCATGATAATTGAATTTCATAATTATTCTTGCTTTCAATCTGTTTTTGATTTTTTTTTCAATTGCCTTTTCTTTTTTCACAGTATCCTACTATTGACGCCTAGTTTTATTGAAACATTCTTAGCGGATTTATCCTGTCGAATATTTAATGCTGTGGAAAGTGATCGGTAAGATTTTTTTTTGCAGTATGATATGGTGATTATGTTTCCGTTGTTTGGAATTAAACGTGTATGTATGTATGTGAGTGTGTGTATGTTGTTGTGAAAAGCACCCGATTCCTAATCGGGTGCTAGGTAAGCATGGCAGATCAATAGATGCAGTAGTGACACTTCATCAGTTGAGGTGGTTGGGACATGTGTTGCGTATGCCTAACCACCGACTGCCTCGTCGAGCTTTGTTTTGTAGTGTAGGAATAGGTTGGATGAAAGTTATGGGAGGCCAGACCAAAACATGGCAAGAATCTATGAAGTCATTGACGAGTGGACTTAGCCATGTCGGTAATTGTCGACTACCTGGTTGGGGTCCACGAGATGATAATAATCGATGGTTAGAGACCTTGAATGACATGGCTCAGAATCGTTCGCGATGGCGCCGGTGCATTTATTCTCTATGTTCTCTCAAATCCTTATCTTCTGTATTCTTCAACACCTCTAGTTTTGACTTTCTAAACTTTTCTCACTGAATAATACTTCTTGAATAGTATCTTCTAATCCTAACCTCTCCGACTACTTCTAATACATTTACTACCTCTTCTACTATTGAACTGACAATTGTATCTGTCTGTGCTGATGTGGTATGGCAACATGACCTGATGCAGTTACGTACGAAGTTCTACGTTGCATCTGACTGACTGATTTCTTTTTAATACTAACAGTTTGTCATGTTAATTGAAATCTGATAGTTTTCATCATGAACACTAACCTCATCAGTCAATTTATGTTTTTGTTCGGGAATTTTGGATCCCTAGAACTTACTTGGAAAAGGTCCTAATTTAGAATTTCTATAGTTTCGCGCCAGAGACGCTTAGTTAACCTTCAGCTTACATTTCTCACTCGGAAAATCCTTGACTGTTATTGGTTGATGGATTAATTTAGTACGATATTTTGTGGCTCTCATCAAGGGCGTTTTATTGTTGTATATGTAAGCATGAGTTTCATGCTTGTTGACTTCGTACTTTCTGGTTGCCTGTGGAATACATTCTCTACGTCTTATCAAGACTTCTTCCTCTGGTTGTAGTGAACGAGAACACAGGGGGGGCAACCGGATTGTATTTAACGAAAATTACAGAGTTACTCAGTAAAATTGGAAAACCATATAGTAAATCGTTAGTTAATTTGCAAAATATCAGTTCATCATATCGAACTGGACTGTTCCTGTTGCAAAACATCATCAATCCATTGTCACTATTCATGCGTTTCATACAAATTCCATTGTGTTCTAACTCTTCCTTTCTTGATCTTCCCCCATCTTCTGCTGCCAGACATAACGTTGACACTCACGTCATATACTACTTATAAGTAGCTCGCACCACACGGTTAGTGGGACTATCGGATCGGAGTAGCCTATCGTATCACAGAATCATTAGTTTCGTTCTGTTTACCGAGTAAGGTGAACTCGTAATTAGTTTCAAGCATATCAATTGGCCAACATAACTGTTTTAGACATAGAACCTTAAAAAACTTTGTGTTTGATCTCCAGTGAGATCCTACATATATGTACACTGCTGAAGAGTATTCTCATACTAGAATAAAACAGCTATTCATATGCGTTTTGTTTTTCAAGGAGTATATAGTTCACTGAAATGGATTTAAGAAGAGAAAGATAAAGCTGATGAGGTATTCAGTAGATTAGAATTCTAGAGAAGACAAGGAATGGATGTACCTGCGTCATTGCAAATGATTTTGAGCTATTTCTTTCAAGATTTCTAACTTTTGGTTACTATCGTCAGTGGTTAGACATACGTAACACATGTGCCAACCATCTCAACTGATCAAGATTCACACCTACATTCATTGATCTGGCATCCTTACCAAGTATTATTTTCCAGCATTACTTACTCAATTGTCCCAGGATATACGAGCAATGCTTCGAAAATACCTATGATCGAATACTAGTAACCTATGAATATCCTCTACTCTTATTGGCTATGTTTTATACCTGTATAATAGTAGGATAGAGCTAACTGATGCTCAGTAAACTCGTCCTTTGGTTGGTAGACAGAAGTATCTTCTACACCATAAATGACGTCAGTTAGCAAAAGCCAGTTATTTTGAGGCTTAATAGTCTTACTGGGGTATTTCAACTTGTACCGATGTACAATATACATCAGGTTCTATGTTGTGACTAGATGTCTAGCATTATAACTTGATCATTCGTAAGGAAACTGGACAAAAACATGTCTCTATAGTGTCGGTTCTGAATGATCAGTTCACTTTAAATTTTATTGTTTTCTTGGTTATTTCAATAACAGGAATTATTCCTCATTTTATGTCTACTAAAGAGTATCCCTTTCATGTTGTTTAACTCATTTTTTTTGGCTAATAAGCCGTCGTCATCATCTTTGTCACTAGCATGAAATGTTATTTGTTATTAGTAGTATAGTTAGAAAGTGAAAAATATTACACTCATCACACCCTCAGTTGTGTAGACGAAAAGCTTAAAGGGTTTCGGATGCTAGACTTCATGGCCTAAAGTCGAATAATTTAACCACTATATGCTAGTTTGAATATTTTCTGTTGAATGATTGTGAGGTTCTGTAGCAGTGTATGTCATTAAAAGGCGTACCAAAGAAGTACGCTAACCTTATACATGGTTTCTACTCAAACACTACTGGTCGATTGAGAGCTTATGGCGAATCGTCATCAGAATAGATGACTTCAAGTGGTGTTGTCCGTCAGGGATTTACACTTTCTCCGTTCTTAGTTATTTTTATCGTAGACATGCTTCTAGATATGACATTATCATCGTCTGACTCTTCAGGAGTGTAGACCTTCTTCCCGGCGATTCATTTGTTGACTTGGAATATGCTGATGACATATTCCTATTCGGTGAAGACGCTAACTACCCTAAGCAACAATTCAAGCATGTTCGGGATGCGGTTATCACCCTCGAAATGCAAAATGTTGCTTCAGGATTGTGTTTCAGCAGTACCGGAACTAGTGATAGGGAGTGAAGTAATCGAACGTGTAGACCGCTTTACTTATCTTGGGAGTCTCATCAGTGCCGATGGCCTGGTGACTGACGAAATCTCAGCACGGATACAGAAGGCTCGATTGACTTTTGCCAACCTGCGTCACTGATGGCGTAGGCGAGATATCCGTTTGCTGACTAAAGGACGAGTGTACTGTGCAGTAGTTCGCTCCGTCCTACTATATGGATGGAAGACATGGCCGCCAAGAGTAGAGGACATTCGTAGGTTGCTTGTCTTCGGTCATAGGTGTCTCCGAAGCATGGATTGTGTATTCTGGGACAGCCGAGTAAGCAATGCCGTCGTTAGGAGACGAATATTAGGTAGGGATGCCAGATCAATAGATGAAGTTGTGAAACTCCATCAGTTGAAGTAGTTGTCACAAGTATAACATATGCCTAACCATCGACTGCCTCGACGAGCTATGTTTTGCAGTGTAGGAATAGGTTGGAAGAAAGTTAGGGGCAGCCAGACCAAAACAAGGCAGAAATCCATGAAGTCGTTGACAAGTGGACTGAGTCATGTTGGTAGATGTAGACTACCTGGTTGGGGTCCGCGAGACGAACTTCACCGACGATTAGAGACGTTACATGGCATGGCTCAAAATCGTTTGCAATGGCGCAAGTGCATTGGTTTGTGTTCAACCAAATTTTCTTCTTCTGAACTCCTCATGAATATCTTCTTACTCTTCTCGAATCTATTTCACCAATAATACTTCTACTTCATCTACTACTATGGTATTTAAATTGGCAATCGCATTACTGTGCTATTGTAGTGATATGGTAACTTGAACTTATGTAGATTGACGTACAAAGTTCTATATTGTACTTGAATGACTGATCCAACTTGAATCTTTAGTGATTCGTTTGTTTTAACATACTCAATATTACGAATGCACGTAAACACGTTATTTGTTATGCTTAAACTATTACAAATTCACCTTGGAAAACGAGAGCGAGGATCAATGATCCGGCGACACAATAGGCTTCTCTTATCCTATTATCCCGAACCCCCCATTGAGTAAAAGAAGTAGACTTGTTTATCAAGTAGAACATGTATTCTACAAGCATCCAGGAAGTACAAGATCTGAGTCTAGTGGAGAATCGGGATCCTGGTCATAAAACGGTACAGATAATGAGTATTTCTATATTTAGGTCGGATAGGAAACAACACTTTAAGTGATATTGACAGTTAGGACGACGACTAATAGGAAACAACATTGGAGTATGTGACATTGATATAACTATGACGACCAGTAGGGGCATTCATTGACCAATAGAATTCGACTTACAAACAATTATTATCTTAGAATATTGAATGAGAATATTCCTAACACTTGAACACTATATTAAGATGGTGGAGAAGATATGTAGCTCAGGTGGATGATTGTGGTGGTGGTGTTTGGTTCTCTGAGCTGGCTGGATGTTTTGGTTGTGGAGCTTTCATGGTTCTTCTTCTGAACAACATCATCAGCACAAAGAACGAGCTCGTTCTTTTTAAGAACACCAACAATCAGATCAACAACGTCTTCGGTGACATTAAATTCACGATGGAAAAGGAATCAAACAACAGTCTATCATTCCTGGATGTACTAATCACCAGAACTAACACAGGAAAACTGGAAACTCAGGTATTTCGGAAGCCAACCCACACAGACGTAATTCTCAACTACGGTAGCAACAATCCAAGAACCCACAAAATCAGCTGCGTACAAACGTTGTTCAAGAGAGCGAAGACACACTACAGCACACGTGAGGCACTAAAAAACGAGGAAAAACATCTTATGGACTATCTTCCAAAAAAACGGCTATCCACGCAACTTCATCAAAAAACATCAACTGAAACCTTGAACAGAACAGAAATCAAGTACAGGAACCAATAAACGGATCATCCTACCATACATAAAAGACATATCGGAACACACAGCACGACTACTGAAACCATTTGGAATAGGTGTGTGGCACACAAACCAACAGAATC